CATTTTTGTGTTTTTTTTTTTTTTTTTTTTTTTTTTTTTTTTCCTTGTTCTCTTCTGTTGTGTTCTGGATCGTGAAAAATGAGTGAGACTGTATACCGTAAGTAACAGCTACTATAGGGATTAGTGGATTTGCACTTGGGTCCGCTGCATCTATCCATATGTATCTCCGTCTCTGCACCTCAGTTATGTAGTTGTGTCTTTTGGACTGGAGAGAGGTAGGATAGCAAATCAGTTTTTGTTCACACCTTACAAAAAATAACATTGGTTAAGATACTCTTTCTCTCTTCCAACCGCTCCAATATTCGGCAGCAGCCAGCTGAGAGCCAAATGCCACACCCACCACCTCACCCTTCCCCTACCTACCTATCTGTACATATACATAATATCTGCAGGAGTTATTGGAACTCCGCCTCCATATTCTGCGGCAAAAATGCTACCGAACCACATTCCATTCCGTCTCTTCTTCTGAAATCTGGATGAGTATGATATGATCTATCCGTACGAGGCCTGCTGCTGCTCGCTGCTCGCTGCTCGCTAATCCACAACGTCCTCGTCCCCAATATCCTATACATACATGTGCGTATCAGCTGCAGCAGCAATTAACGTGCACGTATGTATGCATGCATGGACCAGTTCGTAAATACAACTAAAATCCGAGTTCAAGTCCCCAAGTTCCTCTGTCGGTGTCAGCCCGCGTCGCATGGCATTGCATTGCATTGCATAAAACAGCAACAGCAGCAGCAGCAGGCCGTTCTGGTCCGTCGTCCCGTCCTCTTTTGCCGTATCCCGTCAGTGGCCACGGGCAAAGTCAGTCAGTCAGCACTGCGAAATGGAGCAGTGAGTGTTTAAGCGATGTGATGGGGGTGATAGGTTGGGGTTGAGATGAGCTGGGGGTACGTTGCCGTTGCCGTTGCCGTTGCGTTGCGACCATCAGTATTGTCTCCAGGTTCCATTCAGAGAGAGGGCAAGTGAGCGAGCCCTAAAAACAACACAACAGAACACAGATACGAAGTAGATAGCTGTGACCGCTCGAGATGCAGGACCCCGAGGCGCTGATTGGAATGAATCGCGTTCCCAGGCCAGAATGAGCCCGAGGAAGGGCGGTCGGTATGCGATGCGTACCATCCCTTCCATCTCTACTCGTATTTCCATTTCCATTTCCATCTCCATCAGCATCGTCTGGTCTCTCGGCCTTTCAGGGGCCGTTTTGCTTTGGCAATTGGAGGTCTGCAGGTAGATGAGATGGCACCCTTTTCTGCAGGGTCATCTATCTCTGTCTCTCTCCCTCCCTCCGTCCCTCCCTCTCCCTGTCTTTCTCTTTAGCTATCCGAGTATACAAGGTATAGATAGATAGAAATAGATATAGGAAATGTTCAACCTGCCCGCGCAGCTGGAATCCCTTTCCCATGGGGGACGGACCCGCGGAAGCCATCTTCCAGCCGCTGCGCGTGGGATGAATACTTTTATAAAGACTCCTGCCTCCCGCGAGATGTGATGGGAGTTTGTTTTCGTTGGATCCATTGCCATCGATCGTGTCACTCACTCACAGCCCAGCCTTGCAGAAAGAATAGTACAGACGGCCAGTACTCAATCTTCACTTGATGCCATTTGATACCATCTGATACCGGCTTCAAAGCTGCTTTCTTGTTTGCTCCAGATGTCTGACGGACGATATACCGACAGTAGTATGGGCCACCAGCCCTACCTGATGAATCCCGAAACGACGTCGCAGATGTACGATGGCACATCCAGCGATTCCTCCGCAAGCTCGCCTATGAACTGCAGCGTGAGGTTTTCTTTTTCTTCTCCATTTTCTCTTTCTTTCCACGCGTCCCACTGATGACCGAAAGCTGCCTTCGCCAGTACTGACTGGCTGACTGGCTGACCGACTGACTTTTGCTGAGCACCACACCAGGGCTTCGAGAGCTGCCTGTACGGTCCTGCAAGCACCGGCTACATGGCCATAGCCTACCCCACCTTCCCCGTGCAATATCCAAATTCCATAGGCGGCGGGAATAGCATCATGACGCCAATGGGACTGGGCCAGCTCATTCCAGTCGAGCTCGACATGGCCATAGAGGGACTCTACGAGGACCACGATCGCAGGCGGAAGAGGAACGACGGGACGGGGAAGACCGTCTCCTCGCATGTGCATTCGGTAGGTAAATAGATACCATATACAGATAGATATCTATCTATCTATATATGGTATTCTTCCCTTCTCAGCAAATGCACAAATCCGCAGCACCACAAACCACGAAAAGAAATACAAAAACATACAGAACTAACACATGCTCCTCCTCCCCTCAGCGCCGCCGAGCCCAAAACCGCGCCTCGCAACGAGCATTCCGAGACCGGAAGGAGAAGCACATGCGCGAACTCGAGCAGCGCCTCGGCGAGCTGGAAGGCCGGCACAGCGACCTCGCGCGCTCTTACGCATCGCTGCAGCTTGAGTACGCGAACGTGAAGCAGGAGCTGGACATGATGCGCCAGGACGGCGGCGGCGGCGGCGGCGGGGGTAGTCCCGAGCACGGGAGCTGCAGGAAGCAGCCAAGCAGGAAGTGGGATGAGAAGGAGGAGGCGCAGGCGGACATGTTGGATCCGCTGCAGTTTGACGTTTCGGCCTTTTGCTTCGATCAAGAGGACGATGGTGGGCAAAAGGATTGAAAGTCTATCTTCCTCAGTACGGAGGAGTAATAAACTATTAGTTAGTGCGCTGACTAACTATCAGTGAGACCTTTAAGCGAAGGCAACAACATTCAGACAGGAGTGGGCGAAAAGCCATTCATCGCATTCGTACATAGAAACCTAGGCCAATGCCCAAGGTAGGTGGTGGGTAACCTACTCTCAGAAAGCGCGCAAGGAACACCAAGTAATTAAGATTACTGTTTGTTCACTTCCGAAATGCTCCTTGGGGTATTTGTTTCTGATCTCTTGCGCTTCCCAACCGCCCCCCAGAGGGAACTGTACCTCCTCCTCCGCGTATTCTCTGTACGGGTGCTGCTAACCTCACCCAAATCATCTATGTACATTAATCTAAGGCCAGGACTCGGCTTTTTTCAAGACCCTGCCTCCCTCCCATCCCTCTATTCCTAGTCTTGTCACCCGATGCCGAACGTAAAAGATTACTACAAGAAACTCTTAAAATGCCTCTGCTGCAGCTGCAAAAGTTGAAATCCTCAAAAACGAAGCCGAATTGATATGAGACCAACCCAATATCAGCTTTTTGGTATCCTACGCACGCCAAGAAAAAAAAGAAAAGATAAGAAAAGAAGAAAATATTAAGCGAAGCAAAAGCAAAGCAAGCTACTCCCTCTGGCGCTCGTGAAGATCTTGGCGCCGCTCGTTGCTTTTTTTTGCTTGTGGGACAAAGGACAAAGGAAATTCGTGGGTAGTCTTGGAGATCAAAAACGCTTGTCAAACATGGCTTCGCTCCCCAGAAGATCGAATCGGATGCAAGTGCCTCGTAAATATTATTAGCTTGATGGCGGAGGCGGCTTTCCGTCCACAGCTTGTGTCTCTGTCTTGTCGGAGGGGCCGGATTTCTCGGCCAGTGAGGATGCGGCACTCCTCTTGTTCGTGACGGAAGATTGCTCTGACTCTTCGGGTATGGTTGTAAATTTACTCAGGACCTGTTTCAAGGCCGGTCGTCGGATAGGTTTGCTGAGAACGAGTTAGATTCGCCACTGAGAATATTTACTGATAAAAAGTCCGAGACTTACCTGAGGAACATATTCATGCCAGAGTCGTAACATTCCTTCACATTACTCTCCTCCGCGAAAGCCGTAAGAGCGACAATTGGCGCAGAGTATCCCATCTGACGAATCAGTCTCGTACTTTGGAGACCGTCGAGGTTGGGCATCTTTGCGAACTGTCAGTCGCCATCCCCGTCATAGGGAAAGGCGGAAACTCACCTGGACATCCATAAAAATGAGATCGAAATACTCTCCCTTGGCCATGCTGTCTTTGACCTGATCAAAAGCTTCTTGGCCATCTTTTGCTACCACAACGTTGGAGATGTCTTCAAAAGCGAGCATTCTAGAAAAGTGTCAGCCAAAGTTTTTAAGAAAAAGTCACTGGCCAGGGAGACTGACCGTCGCACAATCTCAATATTTATCAAGTTATCCTCTGCTACAAGCACCCGAAGCTTCGACCCGGGCTCTTTTGTAGCTGTCTTTGACAGCGCAGTAAGTTGACTGTTCTGGTCTTTTTCGGTCGTTGGCGATGCTGAAGCGAAGAACGGTTGACTCAGACCAACAAGACGAGGCTGAGGATCTTTTTTGAAGCCCTCATTCGGAGTAGCATCTACTGGGGTTTTGGAAATTGTTCGAGTGCCACCGTCTAGACTGACAGGTCTCGACGCATGGAAATCTGAACTCGAAGTTGATGGAGCCCTAGACCTGGTATGTTTGAGTGGTATTCTCAATGTGAATGTCGACCCATGGGGCTCGGCGTCCGCGAGAGTAATTGTGCCTCCCATCAAGCCGGCCAGCTGCGAACAAATGCTCAAACCTAGTCCAGTCCCGCCGTACTTCTTGCTCAAACCTAGGTCACCTTGAACAAATGGCTCAAATACCCGGTCCTTTAACTGTTCTGGAATTCCGGGCCCAGAATCCTCGACTTCAAATTGAAACATCAATGTCCGAGCACCAGGGGGTGGTGGAGTATGTGGTCGCTCCTGAGTTTGCAATCGTGGTGTATGTCTCGGGTCCATAGGATTGATCATCAAAGCCGTACCAACAGAAGGTTGGTTTGAGCCATGATCTGATCGGTATCGATGTTTTGAGTTGCGTTGAGAGCCATGTTTAGATCCCATCGAGTTCCTGCTGACATCGGGCAGCGATTCTACATCGCCCAAACATTTGATACGTACTTCGACCTTCCCACCCTGAGGAGTGAACTTCAAACTGTTGCTCACAAGATTGATTATGACCTGGAGAATACGGTGTTGATCACCCCAAAGGGACAAGTCTTTGAGCCTGCCTACGCCTCCCGGCCCGATGGCAGGCAAAGGCATTCCGCAAGGCTTTTCAGTGGGTTCTTGGTCAGCCTCTGCATCTGTACCGAGGTATTTGACACTGAAAGCGATTTTACCCTCTTGAACCTGTTTTGCGAAAATCGTGAGTATCTGGGTTTTGATATCAGACAGGCTAAACTCTTTTTCTTCCAGACTTAATTGCTGCCCGATTTGGTTTTTGCTGAACAGCAACAGGTCATTGAGTAGATGCAGCAACAAGTCACCGGATTTATAGACAATGCCAAGACTGCGTTTGATCTTGGGAAGATCTTCTTCACCCATGCATACCGCGCACATGCCGAGAATCCCGTTCAAGGGCGTCTTCAACTCGTGTGAAATGTTGGCGATGAAAAGTGTTTTGCTCTCATTCGCGGCTTCGGCGGCCCTCTTGCTGATTTCAAGCTCTTCAGTACGTTCAGAAACTTTTTGTTCGAGGCTAGAATATTGTGTCATGAGCTCATCGGACATTTCATTGAATGTCGCTACAAATTGTCAGCACTCAGGTTTAGAACAGAGCCGAGGGTTACTCACTGGTCAGTTCAGTGAGCTCGTCGGTGATCCAGTGCTTCCGATCTCGAACTTTGCCTGGAATCTTAAAGACTCTTCTTCTCTCGTCCTCTTGGCGTTCAACGAGAGTCCTCCTTCGGCCGCTCGAACCCAAATTTCGTAATCTCACAAACGTGGTCTTCTTCGAGCGTGATGAGCCACTGTTCCCAGCCTCTAATTCACCTACACCATCTACAAAGATTTCGCGGTCATCTGTTTCACTCTGCATACTTCCTCTGGGAGTATAGCCAGGCGGTGCAATCGACCTCTCTGTAGCATCTCGCAACCGTCTGATCGGGCGAACACTGTAGTGGGCCATGGGAAGGATTATGATCAGAACAAGCGCTATTGTGCCGAATACACAAGCCGCAACTATAGTTCTGAGCTGTTCGATTGGAGCCCAGGCTTCAGAGTGTCTTTGCTCCACGATGAGAAGCCAAGAAACGAGAGCGCTCTGCGGTCTTGCGAACCCCACCGCCACCTTCTCACCCTGTTCGTTCCTTGTCGTCAAATCACTGCCGGCGTTATTCACCGTGTCATACCATTCTGTAAATCCAACCACAGCAGCCGAATATTTATTCATGCTGAAGTTGGAAGTCCCGTAGTCGGTAATATTTTGACTATCAAAGTTAGAGTTTATGACCTCGAAGAATGAGGGAACGAAATCAGAATCAAAGTCTGTCCAGGTAGGCGACCACTTGAATAGATAGCATAAAATGAGCTTACAGATATTTCGCATGCCGATTGTGCTGGCCGGAGAAGGGCAATGGAGGGAGAACAAAACGGACGTTCGCATCCCCAACGATATCAGGATCTGCGGTATAGTTCGCATTAGAAGGGCGCTGCTCATATCTAAATAAGTTCTCTCGTCTTGATGGGCCAACCAATAGAACAACACCCGTATTATCCAGACCCTCGCGAGACTGCGTAATGCTGATAAGAGACGAGGCTGCTGCAACAACTGTCATGTAGGCTAGTACATTCGACCTGTTTGAATTATCGGTGATCGGTAGCGTGAGCGACAAGAGAGCATAGGTATTATTGACCTGCATGGGGCCCAGAAGGAGCTCAGAGGTGCTGTTAAGAGGCAGATCGTTGAAGGCAGACGCGCTGACTTTTTTCACCGAAGGGTCTAAAGGATCTGGCGCATCAGTTGTCGTGTAGGTAATATTAGGGTAAAGCTGGGTAGGGTATCCAAGATCCGAGTCATCCCCTAGCTTCACGGTCGTCCCATTCGGATACGTGTAAGGTAATTCTATGCCAGATGTTGGCGCTGAGGCCCGGAGGAGATATGTGGAAGTATTTCCCCTTCCAAGGTCCATTCCAATTGTCGAATTCCGCGAGAAAACTTGAATTTGAAGCAATGAAGAGATGCCGCCACCTTTAGGCCCGAAGTCAGTAGATGATATAAGTGCTTGCAAGATTGGCAATCGAAATGAGGCAGCACATACTGTTTAGGGCACTTGACACGTCCTCAAGGGCTTCGGTCCAGTTCATCGATGTCTGATTCCCTCTGTAAAATGACTTCAATGCATCATTCAACAGAATACGAGTCGCGATTGTACTACATGTCGATTGAATGAGAAGGAGATCCAGAGCAATTTGGGAGGCCTTCAGACTAGCAGTCAGGCTCAGCTCTTGGCTAGTAATTCTGACCACGAAGTTCCGGTTATTGATCCATGTGGCCACGGCAAGAACAGCTAGAGGGACGAGAGCGGTCATCAAAACCACCGCTCCCAGCTGCTGTCGAATTCCGATGCGCATCTTGTAGGAGGAGGGGGCGTTTTCCGCGCCGCTTGTATGTATGTATGTCGTCCGCCCTGATCGACCAACCGACACTGGGCGAGGGTTGAAACTACCTCTTTCGATACATGTTCTAGCGGTACTTCGATATCGCGGAGCGTCTGCAAGATGCGATTGAGAGCGTGCAGTCTGTATTCACAAGAGGATATTGCGGCTGCGTTGCTGAGCTGAACTGGGTTGGGCCGGGACGGCTCTCTCGAAGAGAAAACTGATGACCGGAAGTCGAGCTGCGTGCAACACCTAGATACCGAGGTACTTGGTAGGAAAAGAAAGGGGCGCAAGAGAGTGGACGTGAGGGAGAGCCTCGACGAGGGTACTGGTCTGGATCAGAGTCTGGGTGCTGCGATGAAAGAATCGTGGTGTTGATCGAAGGATGAATATAAGTTTTGGTTCGGCCGAGCCCGAGCCAAGCTCCGTAGCGTACGGATCTGTCAAGCAAGCGGGATCAAAGCTGTACGGTAGTCTCGGCAGAACAGCAAGGTTTTGATTTTGATTTTCTGCCATCCCCCATCCCACTCGTGACCCCGACCCCGACTCCCACTCTCCATCTCGCGATGCTCCTCCCAACTACCTGCATCCTTCCGTGGAACAAACAAATACCTACGGATATATTTTTTAAGGTCTCTTCTTTGCAACGCATCTGGCATTCCCTTCCCTCCAAGCCAGGTACCAATCAATGACCACTGACTGGTCTAATCAATATCTCTTCCCCAACCTCCACCCAACGACCATCACTCTCGCACAGCAAAACGCCGCCAACCCTCCAGCATAGCAACACCCAACGAATATCACCAAGCCCTGATAATCGCCGCGTTCCGCGTCCAATATTTTCCCAGCGATAGGCACCCCGAACAGGCAGCCCAGGCTCACAATAGAAAAGCACGTCGAGTAATACCTCCCATACTGATCCACCTCACATAGCTGGCCGATACAGACAGGCGTGAGACTGATGTTGGAGCCGCTGCCGAGCCCAAAGAGCAGAGCGAAGATTATGAGGCCCGGCTTGGAGGAGCCAAAGGGCAGCCAGATGGCGAGGACGGAGATCACTGTGAGAATTATGGCTATGATGGCTATATTGAACCTATCGATTATGGTAAGCATCTCTGTGTGTATGATGAGGAGATTATGCAGGGAAGAACAACAGACCTGCCATATCTATCAGCGAAATACCCCGGCAACAGCCTTCCAAACACAGATCCGGCGTTCAGAACCGGCAGCACCGCAGCCGAGAAGGCCGGGCTGAAGCCCTTGGACACGCAGTATGCGTTGATGTAGGTCAGCGGTACGAATAACGCGAATTCCAGTAGAAACACTCCGAGCACGGTGACAGCAAATGCTGGGTGCCTCAATATCCTGATATCCGGACGAGCACTAGAGTATTCACCAGATGTGACTCGGCTCTTGATGAGAACGTTGGCGCATGAACAGAGGACCAGCGAGATCAACGCTATGATCTTTGTAGACCAGAGAAAGCCTATCCTAGGCATAACAGACTGCAGGGTGAGCGGGTACACGATGCCGCCGAACGCGCCGCCTGTTGCTGCAATCCCGGTTGCGAAGCCGCGGTTCTTGTTGAAGAAGTGCCCGACTACTGTGATAGATGGCGAGAAAAGCAGTGCGGAGCCGATTCCCCCCAGGACGCTGAAGACAAGGATGAAATGCCAGAACTCTGCACCCACGAGTCGTCAGCAGCGTTGCTCTATCGGAGACGAGGAGGGCATGGATCGACTGACCTGAACAATACCCAATCAAATCCATACTCATTACAATCAGTACACTCCCAGGAAGGATTAACCACCTCGGCCCATGTTTATCGAAAATGGGCCCAACGAATAGCCCAACCCCAAACGTGAGAAAAGCGTATAAGCTGAATATCCAGCCCACAGTCGACACTTCATACTCCTCCAACTGATGCGTCGAGATGTACTCCTCAAATGCACCCATCGTATTCATGATCCCCAGCGAGGAGAACAGCGCACACCACGCTCCGAACACGACGAGCCATCCTGCACCGCCCTCAGGAAACGTGATATCCTCGTCCGCGGATGAGGGCGGGGTTTTGGAGGAGTGATTGAGCGTTTCACTCGACGAGAAATTGCTGGGGAGGGTGCGCCGCGGCTCGACGAGCTGCGGGAGGTAGGATTCAGAGGATGCTATGAAGATGGGTTTGTTATTGAGTCCGATGGGCGGGTGTACGGAGGAGAGGAGACGGGAACCGAGGGATGGGACATGCTCAGAAGCGAGCTTGTTTTCCATGTTGGAGCAAAAGTTATCCATGGCGGAAAGAGATCAGGTAGGTAGGTGGACATCGCACAAGGATATCATCAGCTTGAAGAGTCGGGAAATCCCTAGATGGGCTCGGGCGATATTGAGCATTGCTTATCTGTCTTTCGTAACGATTGCCCCATTGCTCCCGTTTTGCACTTGAGTCGTGAGGTAAGAGTAAATATTTTCCACCTGTCTCTCGGAGCTCTGATGATCCTCCATCTCTTCCGCTTCCGCGCGAGACAGTCAAAGAGTACGACGAGTGCAAATCTTCGGGAATGGGTTCCATCGGAGAATGAGATGCATCGGAGAATCAGATCTGGTGAATCAGATCTATCCGAGTGAGATCCGGTATAGAATGAGATCCATCAGAGAATCGGACCTATCCGAGAATGAGATCCACTAGGGCAGATCCACTAGGGCTGGAATGCAGATCCCGTCCTTAAGACAGAATATAGTAGTACTGTAATATGGGTAGTATGGAGTAAATTGATCTCCCAAAAGACAAACCCACCAGAATGGGTCTTCCTCTAGCCCCGAGACATGGGATTGCGATCGGATAAAAAAAAAACATGAGAAACGCCACCAGGCCAGACGCCACAGCGATAGGTTGAGTATGTACGAAGGGAGTACCGGTACGGCAAGGAATCGACAGGCTAAAAGAAACAAGCACTCCAAAGCCACAAGCAAACACAACAAAAACCCAAAGCCGACGCGCAATCAAAAGCCGAGAACTATAAGTAACAAAAGCCGAATAACAACAAACAACTACGTCAACATCAACATCAACATCAACAAGTCTTCGCGTCCAGCCGTCGCGCGTCTGTCGCGCGTCTATCTCGCGTCTCCCCGCAACTCACATACAACAACAGCCAAGCTCCAACCAATCCAAGCCCCAGCCCAAGCCCAAGGGCCCTCACCTCACCGTCATCCAATCCCACCTCCGATCCCATCTCCACCAACAGCTGCAGGCCCTACCCGTCGCACACTTCACGCAGCACCAATTGGCCCAGCCACTCTTACGTACAACCTGAACCGGGGCGTACGGACGGACATTGCATGATCTCCACTTTTTCCAAGCCAAAAGGCCGGCTCCAGTAGACGCGGTCCGCATCGTGACACTTTCGCGATTTTGAGGGGCACTCCACAGTTGGGGAAGGGATCTCGCGACTTACAGACGGGTACTCTTTCGTGCAATTCATCCATTCATCCATCCATCCATTCATTCATGCAGATGCAAGAGAAGCAAAGCAGAAGCAGTGCGATCGATCTGGTGGATGTGAGTCACAGATAGGGCACGTGACAGGAGGGGAGGAGGGGGAGCTGGGGAAGAGAGGAGTGCTTATATCTTGGGATGGGTCCGGAACTGGGTCGCTTGTTTTGCCAATCTTATCTTTTGTCTTTTGGCTTTATTTTTGGCTTTGGCTTTCCGGAATCTTATTGTTGTGGTGTTGTTGAGAAAAATCTCGCTTGATCTTTGGCCTGCGTACTTCTTACCTAGCGACCTATCTATCTTATATTGGCTATTCACAATTATCACATCAAAATCAAACCGGGTCAGATACCGGATCTTTGTAAGGAATCGAAGCAAACAAGCTCTTCATCATAAAAATATATTGGAAATCGAGTGTATTCTCAGCGTGTCGAATCTGCCAGAGCCGCAACCTCCCGAGAGAGACACGACATGCGCGAGCTATGGCCACAGCCAACCCAGATTTCCTCGCCCTCTGCCGGAACGAGGCCGTACAAACAGGTCTCATCTCGCACCTGGACACACCCACCCTCTGCGCCCTGCGCCTCGTATCCTCAGAATGCAGCGACCTCACCACCGCACCTCTCTTCGCCCGAACCCGCTTGACCTTCACCCCCAGCTCCCTCACGCGCCCATCCCGTCTCGAGGCCTTGTCCCGGGTGGGGCGCTATATTCAGCACCTCACGTTCTCCATGTCGCACACACCGGCCACCTTCCTCCCACCCCTCGTAAACCCTTCCACAGGCCGAGAAGTTAACTTCCTCTACACGCCTCACACTTCCGGTGCCTCAGTCTGCCAGCGCCCGAAGTACGGATCGCCTGAGCTAGGCGATCTCCTCACACAGCAATACCCTCCCATCTTCCACGCCGCGACAAATGTCCCGGCATTCGTCAAGGCAATGACTTATATGCCCAATCTCCGCCATCTCACAATCTCCTGTCCCGACCAAGACCCAGTGCAGAGGTACAGGAGAGACGCAGTCGATTACGCGCTCATCAGCTTGCGCATCGCTATTGAACGAGCCCCTGTCGAACGGCTTGCGAAGCTCTCGCTCAAAAACATTCACCCCTCCGGCCTCGTGTACCTCCGCCACATGCCTGGTTTCGGATGCACGCCTTCGGCCGGACGACGGTGGAGGCAGATCAAGAAGCTCAGCATCACGATGGACGCCTGGGACTTCTACGGGGCGCGGCCTGGTCGCGACCATCTGAAGATTCTGGATGATTACATCCGCGCTTTCTCGGCTAACCTCGAGAAAGTGAGCTTTGGGTGGAGTGGACAGAGAGGACCTTGTCCTCTCACATTGTTCACTGATCCGTTGTTTGCGCCGCCGAGGACCACGAAGCTGTTTGCTGAGGTGACCTCGCCCATGTCGCCATTACCAGCTGCGCCGCTTCGCCCGGCAATAACGTTCCCGAAGCTCAAGTACATGCAGATACGCAACGCCAGCATGTCAACAGAGCAAGTGTCGAACTTTGTGCTTGGGCATCGACATACAGTCCGCGAATTTGACTTCGAGAACGTGATTCTCACCAATTGTGGAGAATGGGAGGATGCGTTGTCGCCATTAGCGAGAGCCAGCAGTAGCGATGAATGGATATCGCATCATAGTGGTTCTGAGACCGGCAGCTCGACGTGTTTCCAGAGTCACGATGACCTGGATCAGCTTGGCGAGTTTGACGAGGTTATCGACACGGCCGGTGGTGTGCCTTCTGGGCCAGGAAGAACATCGGTCTTGGTGAAGAAAAAGAGGGTGCACAAGAGACGGCGCAAGCACAGACGTAAGGAGCCAAGTGGGAACCCGGTGATATCAGACCCAATACCCATCACCAGGCCGATCGAAGAGGTCTTGATACCTGAAGAAGTCTTGTTGATGCCGACGATGTTCAATCCCAACGTGCAAGGCGTTCAGCGCGACACTAGAAAAGAGGCTGCTCAGCAAGAGCTAGCTGACGATCCGGACAAGAGGGTGTCCGCGCTGAAGAAAGCGAAAGAGGCTGTCTTGAAGCAGCTTGGCAAGGAGTACTGCAGGAACCATGAGCGAAAAGAAAACGCCAGGGGCTTCTTAAAGAACACGTATTTAGCCGGCAGGAAGGGGAGGGCGCTTATGGGTCATCATGAGAGTACAGCTCTGGTGCCGTTGATGTTTAGTCGGTATTAGCGATTTGCTGCTTTTGTTTTTGTTTTCTTTTGGTATCTAGCTTCTTGAAAAAAGGTCCTTCACGAATGATGATTGATGAACAACTCTTTATGTCTTCCAAAAATCATATTCGGCGATAGAGATGCATCTGACACCTCATGTTCTCCAGCTGGATTGGGTATCTAAGGCTGTTAGGAATTCGAAACCATCTCGAGTCATCTGACACGATCTTTTCCCAAAAAGGTTGTTTGGGGTCCATGAGAGTGTGGTCCATCAGCCACTTCATTGGGTATCTCTTGGCTTCTGACCCAACTTGAGTCTCCGAATAGCTTCCAGGGCTATCGACCACGAGCAGCAGAGTGCCTGGTTTGGCAGAATTTGTCACATTTATAAGGAACGTGGTTGCTTTGCTGATGGAGGCTGTGTAGAGTTCGTTCAGGGTGAAGAGAAGAGTGCAGAGAAGCGGCTTCGCTTCGAACAGAAATTCCAGTCGACTTTGGTCCATCTCAAGGCAATTCTCAACATGCGATGTTGATTCGAGTCTTCCATCCGGTATGAATTGCGAGTTCGTTTCTCGTGCTAATGCGTTGGCATATTTCGAGAGTGTTGGAAGCGTGGTAAGTCCAGCGAGGAGCCTGGAGCAGACATCCTGCCACGAGGCGCTGTCGATGAGCTGAAGGTCAATATCTACAGTTTTGGTAGCAATAGACTCGGGAGTCGCATCCTTCTCAGTAGTAGCGTTCGTGATGGACAGATTTTCCAGCTTGAGATCAGCGTCGGGCATGACTTTCAAAGGAGTAGCGTCAAGGAGGCATCGAAGAAATCCACCGAAAGCAACAACTTCTGCTGCTCCACCGCCAAAAGCGACAACGTGCAGCGTGGAATCCACGGGAACATCAACCTCGGGCTGTCTAGGCTGGCAGAGTGGGAAGATGTCAGCGAAATGTTTCTGGAGGTCGACCAATATAGCTTGATAGCAAAGAGCTCTGCTTGGACTCCATCGAACAGAATATGCCTCCAGGTAATCTTTCCTGCCAAAGGCTCGCTCAAAATCCCTGTTGTAGAGAGCAGCTTTGACTTCTTGAAGCGTGGTTTGCAACCTCTCTGACAGCAAGATCTCCGGGAACGTATCTTTGAATATATTCAGAGTTGACTGCTGGATCTTGACCCGTACCACAGTCTCCAAAGGTGCCTCTCCCTCTCCCTCTTCATTCACCTCTGCATCGACTTTGGTGCTCTTCAAGAGTGTTTTGGCTTTGCCCGCCGCAGCTTTTTTCTGGCCGGCACTGGGGCCCTTCTTTGAGTTCCCAGTGGGCCCAAAGTCGTTAACGATCCTCCCAGATCTTCCTCCTTTGCCCATGATGAAGATGGCCCCGGGAAGATCAGGTCTTGTCGCGATCGTTGGGTTGGTGACAGGTGACTTGTAATTGATGATAAATAAGTATCCCATGAGTTAAGAGAATAAAATATTCTCTGGTTGCGGGGCTGGGTCAGGGCCGAACCGAGATCGCGCTATCTACCGGTACCCTACTGGTGATCCTAGAGTTAATCACCGACTCCCTCATTGAAGTTGACGTGGATTCACACTCGATACTAAAAAGTGAGGGCATGGTATCCTCTTGAGTCAATACATTCTTCTCCAACTATCAATGCCCTACCTATCCTTAGAGGAGCCAGGATGTCTGGCCTCGCGCGGAAACTCGTGATATTTGCAGCCGTCGACGGTCTAATATTAGAGCAGAGGGGCCGCCCGGCCACGAAAATCACATACAAGGACAGCAGCATCTTGCAGGTGCCTAAAGATGGGACCAGGGGTGAAGGGACGGGCAAATCTTTCGAGGCCTTTGGGCTTGTTGGTATGTGCAGGCATTATTCATTCCAGGCTCATTGGCTAACCCGTAACCCGGCATAGGCCTATTGACAGTCTCAAGGTCCTCCTTTCTGATATCCATAACAAAACGCCAGCAGGTCGCGCAGGTCCACGGGAAGGCTATCTACGTCATTACAGAAGTCGCTATTACACCGCTATCTTCCAAGACCGAGGCGGAATCCTCAATCGCGAACACCCACGCTTCCTTGCTGACGGACGATCCGGAGCATGTAGATGTGAGCGATACAGATGGAGAGGAAGCTGGCCAAGCTGGAAATACCAACGACGATGTTGAAGACGAGAGCTTACCGGCCGGAACATTATCTGCACCAGCTGCACACAGGAGAAGAACGAGTGTTGCAGAAGATGTTATGGCCCGGAAAGGCGGGTACGGCAGGTTCGCCCAGAAATGGTTTTCGAAGGAAGGGTGGACTGCGGATCAGCGAAGGAATCTGGGAATGACTGAATCTGGACCTGATGCCGCTCAGGACAAGCCTGTTCATACAGAGGTATCTGCACAAGAGTCCGGCTTACCTGCCCCGTCCAAAGAACCCAGTGCGAGCAGTCAATGCTCTGTTGATGTCACAGCAGCACTGCTCCCAAAGCTGCTGCGCACCACAGCTATGCTCTTCGGCTCTTCCCAGAGCTTCTTCTTTTCTTACGACTTTGACATTACCAGGAGTTTCGCAGCCCGAGAAACGTCTGGTACCGAGGCACCGCTTCACACCCAGGTCGATCCGTTGTTTTGGTGGAATCGCAAAATCATCCAGCCCTTTGCGGATGCTGGTCAGAGCTCGCTTGTTCTGCCTCTGATGCAAGGCTATGTTGGACAGAAATCGTTTGAGATGAATCCTAACCCTCCTAAAACTGCGGTTGGCGCTGATTGGGTGGAGAAATCGTCTATGGAGCTGGAAGATCTCTCAGCAGTCACAAGCTCCCACAGAAGCAGCAGAGAGTCGGGCGCTACTGGTCTCAATCACAGCCAATCCAGTATTAAGCCTTTCTTATTGACTTTGATCTCTCGGAGATCTGTCAAGCGAGCCGGGCTACGTTATTTGCGTCGTGGCGTAGATGACGAAGGCTTTACCGCTAACAGTGTCGAGACTGAACAAATACTTTCAGATCCATCGTGGAAATCTAAAGTATACTCGTTCATCCAGGTCCGAGGTAGCATTCCGGTCTTTTTCTCCCAGTCTCCGTATTCCTTTAAACCTATTCCACAACTACAGCACTCTGAAAATATAAACTACGATGCTTTCAAACGCCACTTCCAGAGACTCTCGGATAAGTATGGATCCATTCAAGTCGTGTCACTTGTCGAGAAGCATGGACCTGAATCTATAGTCGGCGACCGGTATGACAGTTTTACAGAGCGCCTGAATTCCTCTGAGGAGCAGAAAGTAGGCTTTGAATGGTTTGACTTTCATGCCATCTGCAGAGGCATGAAATTCGAGAATGTCAGCCTGTTGATGGACGCTGTGGGAGAGAAGCTCGACAGTTTTGGCCAAACCATCGAAGTAGATGGTAAGCAGGTGTCGAAACAACGAGGCGTCCTGCGCACGAATTGTATGGATTGCTTGGATCGGACGAACGTGGTCCAAAGTGCCTGTGGCATGCGAGCACTTGAGGGTCAACTGAAGGCGGAGGGCATAGACATGAGTCTCCAGCCCGACCAGACTACCCAATGGTTTAACTATCTGTGGGCCGACAACGGCGATGCAATATCAAAGCAGTACGCATCAACTGCTGCATTAAAAGGAGATTTCACACGTACTCGAAAACGAAATCTTCAAGGTGCCATCAACGATATGGGTAATTCAATCCAGCGATTTTACAGCGGGTAAGTACTCCCCCAACCATGACACAAGTCCTGCACACTGACGTTCAAAGAATCGTAAATGACTACTTTTCCCAAGCAGCCATCGACTTCCTCCTCGGAAACGTCACCTCCGTCGTCTTCTCCGATTTCGAGTCCAATATGATGTCCTCTGACCCGGGAGTCTCCATGTCGAAAATGCGCCAGCACGCTATCGAAACCTGCCAAAAGCTTGTCATCGCCGACGAGCATGAAGAGATGATCGGCGGCTGGACGCTCCTCACCCCGCACCTCCCCAACACCATCAAATCTCTACCTTTCGAGGAGCTAGTCCTACTATTAACAGACGCCGGGCTGTACTCCTGCCGCTTCGACTGGGACATGGAGAAGGTGTCGAGTTTTGAGCGCATCGATCTGCAGCACATTGCAAGCATCAAGGTCGGAACGTATATCACGAGTGTGCTATCCGCAGTGCAGGCAGACGAGGAACACAACGTCGGTTTTGTGATTACGTACAAAGCTGGCACGGACGACATCACCCGCGTCAACACGCGATCCATGTTAAGCATCCGGGCCCGCGACGAGGCGGATCTGCTGGATGGCACGCCTGTGCAAACGGGCGCCCAGTCTCTCTTCCAAAGCCTCACAGGAGCAGGAAGCACGCCGGCTCCTGAGATGCGCATCCTGGCGCTTAAAGCGCTCTACGCGCGCTCGGCTGTTGCAGTTGATGGCAACGACACGATGCTGAGCGAGGTGGAGCAAGCTAGGACGATCTGCGCGGAGATTGAGCGGATGGTGCTGCATGGACGGGTGATGGAAATTGGCAGCGAGAGGAAGGGAGTGGTGGAGGCGGGCGATGTGATCAGCCTGGCGGAGGCGAAGAAGAGCACAGGGATTCTGGAACAGCTGTCGCATAGTCTGAAGAAGCTCGTTTGGGCTTAGAGAGGTTGGGTGGCTTGGCTTGGTGTTTGTGTATATGGGGTAATCTGTATATATGAACCGTATCAGTAGGTACATAGACGTTGAATGGGAGATTGAATAATAATAACCCCCACCCCCCCACCATAAACATCAGCTTTTGGGCATTGGAGACGATACGTATCGCTGGGTGGTATCTCTGGGTGGTATCTTGATAGCTGTGAATGCTCGGCGCAGATGGCAACAGCACGTACAGGTTTTTTTTTTTTTTTTTTTTTTTTTTTCATCAAATCGAAATATTCGGAAAGCGTCACTCTCATTCTAGCAATGTGCTCTCTTCGCGTACTATCGTTCTCTCCAGGAGGTTTCAATCCCCGCGGCACTAAGGGCATATCAAGATTCTTGTCAAGTTGCTGTCACCAGGAATAGATATATATATATATATACGTGTGTGTGTGTGTGTGTGTGTGTGGGAGTAGGAGGTGGGTCTCTTAACTTTGTATGATTTTTATTCCCTTGTTTTTGACCTTGGCTGATATATAAATATGTGTGTGTGTGTGTATGTATATTTCGAATCAAGAGCGTATTTGAAGCAGAGAGGGAATGTTGTTGTTGTTATAGGTAGGGAGGTAAGGGAGGTAGGTAGGTAAATAGATAGGCGAGATGGTGTTTTGTGAGTTTGATTTTGAGATTTTGAGATTGGAGACTGGAGGTTGGAGATTGGAGGTTAGATATTTTGTAGATAAGGAACTCTCTTGAATGTGTTTAATATTTAGGATGATGGGTTAGGGGTAGGGTACAAAGGAGGGAGTGATGGTCGTTTGTGTAGGAGGTAGGAGGTAGGTGATTGTGATTGAATTTGAATTTGGAATTTTAAAAGTGAGGATGGGAGGAGGAGAGGGATGGAGAGGAGGGGGGGAAGGAGGGGAGAGTTCAGCGAATTCTTTTATCTATCTATCTATGTCTGTCTGTGTGTCTGTCTGTCTGTCTGTCTGTCTGTCATCAATAAGTAACATCAGGACACGAACGAACGAACAATCGCTGAGGGCATCGAGACTCGTCTAGCCCTCTGTCGCTGGCTTTGTCTGTAGTTAAAGTGTAGACACATGATATCCTGCGCTGCGTGTAGCGAGAGGAGTTTGGGCGGCGCAGGTCACATTCCGCTTTTGCGCTTGCACATCTTTGGTATGACTTCTGTCCTAGGCTTGAGGGCTTGATCTGGAGATATGGGAGGTCTCGGGCACAATGTCCCAATAATAACACCGCGTCTCCAGATGTAAGCTGTTGTTTCTCAGGCCATTGTGGAAACAAAAAAATATTGCTGAGTGCCGAAATACACTGCACAATTTTCAGTCTCAACTAAAGGCGAGGTATTTATTATCCTTTAAGGTCAGCCAGCATCCCACTTATGTTTAGCAGGAGAAATATTCACTGAACATGACCATCAGCGACTGACGCCATCTGAGAAGATCGGCAATTACATATGGACAGACTCTCAAAAAGATTCGACCCGAGATGAGCAGACAGCCATACTATAACCCGGGGGCGGTTGAGCGCCCAGATGTGACCTTCAACCCCTTCCGACGCATTTGGAAAGGTGAGCGACAGCTGACACTTTCCTGCTCAGATGCTCCATTCATCATCAACGAGGACGGTAACAACGCCGAGGCTGTCGCTCTCAGGAAATGAGCAGGATAGAGATATATGACTGGCTAGCAGGAAAGACGGCCAAAATGTACAGTAATCGAAATCCAAAATCCGAAGGCGCCGGAAAGACGGAAAAGAAAATAAGCATTGAGCCAGATGCGGCCTCGTAAACTTGGTAAGTCTCTATGGATCTTCAGGCACATACACACCTCGCAGTAGTTCCGAGCTCCATGGCCGGCTTTCACGAGTGAAAGGATTATGGCGAAGCGAGGCCTCTGCTGGTGAAGTAGGTAATTGCAAGAGGGGATGAGGTCGTGAGCGCTGTCTTTTTTTTTTTTTTTTTTTTTTTGTTATCAATCAGCTTCCCAGATCCGGTCACTCGATAGATTCTTAAATACGAGATGCCGCTTTGCGTGAGAAAGAAGAAGCTTTTGGTCGCAACCAGATGACACACACAACTCCAGTAGCCACATGCCATCACGCTTCCCTGCTATGGATTTCCATCTCATCTCGAGTCTCAGCCTCGTCCTGCTGCAGTGACCGTACGACGGCAATGCGCGCATGCACGAACCATACATAGCCTGCAGCTCGCTCGTCTCCCTCAAGCAAGCAGCCGTGCGGAGCGAGCTGTCACCTTATTAAAAGGTGACGACAATAGCATCCAGGCAGGATGAGGATGAATAGGAAGCATGTGTTGGTGTTGTGTTGGTGTTGTGTGCGAACGGCTAGTAGACAGGCCAACGTTGTTCATTCATACGTGGCGTGGCAAGACAAAAGGTCCAGATCGCAACCGGCCATCGGCGAACGGGCGAACGGGCGAACGGACGAACGGACGAGCGGACGAACGGGCAAACTGGTCTGCGGTCTGCGGTCTGCGGTCTGGAGTCTGAAGTCTGGAGTCTGGAGTCTGGACGGGTGCGTGCCTATCAAGTGTGGCTCGGCTTGTGTTAAGTATATCAAAGAAGAAGAGAACCAACTTACGAAGCAGAGAAGAGACAAGACTCGGAGCTCTGTGGCTGAGACAGCTATAATAAGAATTCGTTTTCAACTCCCTATCCAAGACTCGTGACGAACGAGGTTTCAAGCCGTTCGCGATGTCCGAGGAAATGCTTTCTTTCTTTCTCTGCAGAGCCATCCCATTGCCCATTGCCCATTCCCATTCCCCGTTCCCGTTCCCATTCTTGGTGACCGGTGGTAGTGGTACCGGATTCCATGGATGTCATTCTGCTTCAGAGAATGTCCTGACATGAGCCGGATCGACAGGCGAATCTTGTATGAATCAAGATGTGGCGTCAGATCAGACGCATGCATGATTCGTAAGCTTTTGCTTTTCTCCAGATGAAGATGAAGATGAAGATGAGATGAGACGAGGTGCCGATAGTATCACTGGTGGAAGGGTGTCTTGTCAGTCTCTTGTACTCTATCCTGTGCAGTGACCATGTTGTTTTGCTTCCGTCGGTATATACCTTATAGTTCATCTAGTCACATTACTTACCTAGTTGAGTGACACCGGGTGTTGCCATCGACATTTTCATGGCTGCATTATACTATACTCACCCTTTCTTTTGTATGTGTATCTATGTATATTTTACATGAATATAGATGGCTGGGAAAAGGTGCTCTCGTTGTTTATATATATATATATATTTATATACACTACGACGAACTCGGTAAAAAGACCGGATATACTCGTTTGATTCCCAGTGGCAAGGGACGGCCCCCCGTGAGGAAATGGCGTGCCCGGCCGGCCCGCTAGTCACACACCCAATATTCCTTAGGGAGTAAGTTGCCTTAGTCACATTGTCGAAGATCATAAAACCTCCCCCCCATCTCGTCCTCCTTTCCTGACCACAACTTCAAACAGATCGAAAAAGAAAGAATATCTCGACTTCCTTCTCCAGCATACCCAGTCACTCACCGCCACCAACCACCAGAAACCGACCCTTCGAGAACCTCGGCTTGGATCCTCATCAGCAAAACAAGCGCCACGCTTTGACCAGCAGAGTCCTTGACTCCCTTATCTGCCTCTAACACAGTCACCAGGCCTCCTACTCCTCCGCCTCCTACTCTTTTCCCTTCGAAACCATAGATACGACGTACATCTTCGATATACATCCCCCATACCCATACCCAACCTTTACACATACCCAAAACAAAATGCCTTCATCCGTCTCCAGCTCACGCTCTGCATCCCCAGAACCAGACTCGACAATGCAGATCTTCATCAAGACCATCGCCGGCGACAGTAGGTCCCCTTCTCCGTCTTCTTCCCCTTTACTCATAGCTACACCCTCTCTAGATCAACACCAACAACAAAATATCAAATAGTACTCTGCTAACCATCTATCTTCTAGCATTCCCTCTCACTGTGCCCCCGACAATCTCAATCCACACCCTCACCACCCTCCTCTCTCTCCGCACCTCCCTGCCTGAATCAGACCTCCGTCTCGTCTACGCCGGCAAGCACATTTCGCCGTCATCCTCATGCAGTACGCTCCTCTCACACAACATCCCCCGCGACTCGACCCTCCACCTCGCGACGCCGCTCCGGGGTGGTATGCCTCCGAAGAAGATCCGCTGCACATACAAGGACTGTCGGGAAGGCGCACAGCGCATCATCGGCGACTGCGGATTCTGCAAGGGGCACTACTGTGGGAGCCATCGGCTGCTGGAAGACCACAAGTGCGATGGGCTGGAGGACGTGAGTAGCCCATTTCCCGATCTCGAGGAGGTTGAGTGGTGGCTTGTTGGTCTCGAGTCTACGTTGCACTCATTACTCGAAGGGAATGAAGCATGCGCTAACACGCGATGAACAGTGCAAGAAGGAATCCCACGACCGTAACGCAGCGCAGCTCAACGCTGAGCGCACGCGGGTCATCAAAGGCATCTAGAAAAACATCCCTGAAAGCCAGAGTCCAAGCACCAGAGAACGTGCCATGTGCACATAGCCGCATTCCCATTTTCAACACATTGATAGGAGACTGAGCGACAGGCAAGCATGCAAGAAGGCTGGCGTTCGGGTTCCGTTTCGTCTGCAACCATGGCATTTTACATTTCCCGTCAGCGTCTTCGTCAACACAACCTAATTCCTCTCTTCGGTAATTGTGATTTAGCGGGCGTACCAATCATACTCATGGCTTCTGCATCTGCTTGCTTTGTCTCATCTCTTCGATCGAGGGAGCATGGAAGGATGGGATAGGATGATATGATAGAGATGAGATGGGCTGAGAATAACAAGATAATTTTTTTGGTGCAACATAACTCCGTATACGTAATCATGCTTTCGTGCCTGCCTTACTCTGTTTACATGTGTACTGCTAGTCTCGCCTCGGGCCCACTCGGCTCGGCTCATCTCGGCTCGGCTCGGCTCGGCACGCTTATCTACAACCTAGGTCCGCTATGAGTGAGAAAAATACCCAAGCGCGGAGAAAAAGTTTCGATTTCAGTAAATCCGATATCGACGTAAGAGATTTGGAATGCCAGTGTCGACAATAACTCCTGTTTAGAATCTGTATTCTACACATATATGCTTGTACCTCTCTCTACCTCTACCTGTACCTCTACCTGTGCCTGTAGCCCTGCATGTCTACGATCACAACACATTACTTCGTAAGAAGATATCGAGAATAAAAACAATGAAGAAAAACAATGAAAAAAAACAATGAAAAAAAACAATGAAAAAAAACTTTTCTTTAAAGAAAAGAACAAAAACAAAAACGAAAACGAAAACGCCGGGCAAGATAGGTAGGTTGGTAGGTAGGTAGGTAGGTAGGTAGGTAGGATGAGCTAGATGACAAAGTAGATGGGATAGAGGAAGGAGGAAGGTCAGGTTGAGAAGGTTGGTAAAGGTAAGTGAAACGATAAAGGAGGAGAGTGTGTTCCCGGTTGCGTATCAAATCCAATCCAATCAAATTCGAAATATCGAGCTGTCTCTACCTACCAACGACCTACCTATCTACCTACCTACCTACCCAGCTAACTAATTCGATAAAAGAGGCAAGCAAGCAAGTAGGCAAAAAAAACTTTCGAGATAAACGCGTTTATTCTCATCTATCTCCTTGCTACATTCAATTCAATATACAGCATTTTCTCCTCCCTGTCTACCCATCCGCATATTGAAAATTCGTGTTGCTTTCTAAGGTCTCGAGCGATTTACCCGACCCCGATTGAAATGAATAGTTATTTCCCCTTTTCCATTGTTCACTCGAGCCTTGCAAAGAGCTCCATTTAGATTTGTGACTTTTGAAAGAGGGGAACAGGGAGGGAACGGAGTGGACCACACACCCCCATACACCCACCCAACGCCTTACTCCTCCCGCATGTTGACGACGCAGCGGATGCAATCTCCGGCCTTCATGTCCGCGAAGGCGGCGTTGATACCCGACAGCGGCTGGCGGTGCGTGATGAACTCATCGACCTTCAGCTTGCCTTGCATATAGTCGTCGACTAGGTCAGGGAGCTGCGAGCGGCCCTTGATGCCGCCGAATGCACATCCCTAGACATCTTCTGTTAGATAGATACATCATAGATAAGGATGGGAACACTTGCCTTCCAAACGCGGCCGGTGACGAGTTGGAAAGCTGTATTTTAGACCGTGTTAGTCTGTGTGGCTGTACGGATGAGGACAGGAGATAAGAAGGGAAGGGAAAACATACGTCTCGTGGAGATCTCCTGCCCTGCAGCTGCAACCCCAATAACGATACTCGTTCCCCAGCCCTTGTGGCACGCCTCGAGCGCCGCCCGCATCACGCCCACGTTACCCGTGCAATCAAACGTAAAGTCGCACCCGCCATCCGTCATCTCGACCAGCTTCTCCACTATGGTCTGGTCCTTCAGCTCCGTTGGGTTCACAAAGTCCGTGGCTCCGAACTTCTCTGCCCATTCCTTCTTGTTGGGGTTGACATCGACCACGATGATCTTGCCCGCCTTTCGCGTCACCGCACCCTGCACGACGGACAAACCGACGCAGCCGGCGCCAAACACGGCCACGTTGTCGCCTTCAGCCACCTTGGCCGTTTCGACAGCTGCACCATAGCCGGTCGTGATACCGCAGCCGAGTAGACAGGTGCGGTCCATAGGCGCGTCCTTGGTGATGGCCACGACGGAGATGTCGGCTACGACCGTGTATTGCGAGAAAGTCGATGTGCCCATGAAGTGCAAAAGATCCTTGCCCTTGCACTTGAAGCGTGAGGTGCCGTCTGGCATGACGCCCTTGCCTTGCGTGGCTCTGATCTTGCCACAGAGGTTCGTCTTGCCGGACTTGCAGAACTTGCACTCTTTGCATTCTGGGGTGCTGCACGGATCGTTAGTCAAAGTCTATAGTAAGATTTGTGAGTAGATTGAGGAAAAGGACTTACTAAAGAGCAACGACATAATCTCCTGGCTTTACAGACGTAACACCCTCCCCAACACTCTCTACGATGCCGGCCCCTTCGTGACCCAGCACAATCGGGAAGGCTCCCTCGGGATCCTTTCCAGACAGCGTGTAGGCATCTATTCCCATCAGCCCACCCCTTCTCCCCCTGCAGTAAGGAATGAAATTCGAGCATACCGGTATGGCAGACACCCGTGTAGAAAATCTCAATGCGGACCTCATGAGCCCGGGGTGGGCTAACTTCGATATCCTCGAATGTCAGGTCCTTGCCAGCCTCCCACGCCACGGCGGCCTAGGGAATATTCTGTTATTACTCCTCTTCCAACTCTCATTCAGCTCCCATCTCGATTGTGGCTGAGAGCTCACCTTGCAGGTAATGGTCTAGCAGAAGATCAAATGGTCAGCACGGGTTCGATTCGTGACGTACGGCAATGCGGGCGGGGCTCCTTCAACAAACCAACGAACAAAGCAACATACCTTTCCAACAGTCGACATTCTGTCTAACTATCTCTTGGGGGTTATGGAGATCTTTCGGTAGGAGATGTGATAATATATTCTTCCGGTTTTCGTCTGGATGGATGCGCGGAGGAGGAGAAGGGAGAAGGGAGGAGGGAGGAGGGAGGAGGGAGAAGGGAGAAAGAAGTGGCGGCAGACAGTGTCTCCAAGTTGTTGTAAAGAAGATAGTGGGGGTACTAGTAAGTATACGTACGGACTTATATTTACCCCGCCGTCGGGCGAATCTCGCAAACCCGGCATTTAATCGTCGGCAGACTGAAAGGATGAATGGGGGCCCACCTAAGCGAGCCGACGATTACCATTTACCGTTTACCTTACCTGGTCCACATTTTTTCTCCCTCTATGTGAATTTCTTCATAGAAAGATGATAGTGGAGACGAAGGTTTGAGTTGACGTTGTTAACCTTGCTGCCGCTGGCTAGTTACAGGAAGTTATCATCTCTTCCTACTTGGCTCTCTCGCTCGATTCTCGGGATTGACGACCGCCCGCATCGGGAGGGGTCAGGAAAACAAGAAAGAAGCAGAAAAGAAAAGGCGAAAGAATAGCCGAGGTGAGCCAACCAACTCTCTCTCGAACTTAGAAGCACTAGTGAGCGCAGCAGAAAGCGTGTGAATTTCGTGAGTCCATTCTAGGTATATCGTATAGACAGACAGACCATACTCCAACAACAAAAAGTAGAAAACATCGCACAAACAAAAACACCCAACCAAATAAGCCTCCCTCCCGCTTGCTTGCTCGATCGCATCCCCTCATGCAGAAAAACTCCTATCCCATCCCAGCCCTAAGCTGAAGAAATTCCAGGTGGCTCCAACTTGATGCAAGAACGAACGCGCGCGCTACCTATGCTCCAAAAATTTTGATGTTTATGTGTCCGTTACTTCGTTATCAATGTTTCTTATATTTCTGCAAAGGAGTCAGTCAGCTGCGCTCTTCAAATTTCTGATCACATGGGATTAAGGAGTACGGTTTGGGTAGTTGGTCTGAGAGATGGGATGTTGGTGACTTACCGCCTCAGCTCTCTGCAGATGCACCGGATCCAAAGAATTCGTAGCTCCCATCAAGATTTGCCCTCCAGCCCTCGCGACCCCAATCGCCGGCCGCAGAATCACGGTAGGCGCATGCTTCCTCACAGCCTTCAACACGCCCGCCGCGTTTCCGCCCTCCATCACCTCCCCGGGTACGGCAATAATTGCATCCCGCGCTAACACCAGATCCCTCTGTAGGCCAGCATACCCACCTCGTAAGCCTTGAAAAACGCCGACGGGCTGGTTGGCATAAAGAGAGATGTGCTTCTTCTCTTCCTCGGAGTCATCATCATCCGTTCTAGGAAGGGCAGACTCGGATGTAGGACCTAACAAGTCTTCGGCGCCTTGCAGCACCGTCTGCACGCCGATGGCAACTTTGGCGCCGAGTTTGACAAGTTCGGTGCCTGTTGTCTTTGCAAAGGCAGCGGCGCCTTTGGAGATACTGCGCACGATGCGGCCGTCTTTCCTGTACTCCCGCATGGGCACTACGACGAGGTGTCTGAAGCCGCCGCCGACGTTGACAAGCGATCTGACGGGTGCCAGGCCAGCGAGGATGCCGGGGAGTTGGTTGCGCTTGATGTCTGGCATCCAGATATCATTGAGGCATTTTCCGAGCTTGTCGAAACCGGAAATGCCGTATATGATAGTATGGCGGAGTACCATGTCTGCTTCATCTAGAATCAGGAAGTTCATGAACTCCGTTGTGTGGCCAGAGCGTAGACCGGCGTAGTCGACTCTCTTTGGCTTGAAGTCCAGCTTGACCTGCACCGAGTTTACTTCCACTCTTTGAAGGAAGGGTGCATCGCCTTGCGAATTATTGACCGGAGCAGAGTCATCTTTGAACTCGAAGAACCGAGTAATAAAGTCAAGAGCATCCTGGTCTACATGAAGTCGGAGTGGGAGGACAGTCGCCTTGAGCACAATCTCAGCGGCAGCCAGTTCGGGGACTGGCTTCACGTTCAGGATCTCTATATGTATCATACTAGTGCCGATTTCTCGTTGACCAGCGTCTTGCATATACGTAGCGAATTTTCTCCAGGTCGATGTTGGGACGTGATCAAAGATCTCAAAGTCGTTGACACGAATGTCAATCGAGCTCTGAGTCTCTCCACTTTCAGGAGGGAAGGCAACAAGATCTACACAGACACCTCGAAGCTCAAAAGTGATCTTGTGGTGCCTGCTCCTGTTAAGGCGTAACTTCTTGGTTTTGTGCTTCCGGGAACTGCTTGGTCTGCTCGGAGAAGACGACAAAGACGTGGTTGCAATAGACTCGGTCTCTGTTGCATTGTCATTGAGCTCCTGATTTATTGCAGCAGCAAGTTCACGAGGGTCTCGGTTTGACGGTATACCGATATAGATGGAATTGAACAAAAAATCGCCGATGACAGTCTCCTCATCCTCAACGTCCTGATCGAAGGAGGTAAGCCTGTCGCTTCTTGCTCGCTTCTCGATTGCCTTTGACTCCACGTCTTGAACTGCCTTGGTGATGGTATCGCGAGTGTGTTGCCAATCATAACCATCGAACAGGTTCCAGATTATGTGTACGTCGCGAATGCAGACCTTAAGTGGGCTTTTTCGAACCTTGTAAGCATTCGATTGGTCGTATGTGTTCTTTGAAGAGTTCCATCGGTGTGCTGTGCCCTCCAGAACAGAACCAGTACCGAAATGATCCTCCTGAAAATCCAAATCTACAGGATCTTCCAGGGCTTCGGGCGGCTGCACAAAGCTATCCAGTAAGACACCGTCATGAGTATCACGGCTCGTAACACGTGTTGAGGCCGAAGAGACCCCATCGTCATCAGCATTGTACAGATCTTCAGACTCATTTTGGTAGTAATGAGAGTCGAAATCGAGCTCGTTATCATCGCCCGGAAAGTCTCCTTCCAATCCCTCTGGAACGGCAAAATCATCATCGAAATTGTAGTCCCCCTCAGCTGTACCAAAAGCGTCTCCGGATAGAGAAGCCAGCAAGTCATGAACGGGGATGACCTTAGTACGATACTTGGTTTCTTTGCATGGAGTAGTAGGAGGCGACAAGTTGCCGAGGACAGCAATTAGCGTCTGGGTAGAGTCGGCGCAGGACTCGAGGACAAACAAGTCGTCTCGAAGTTCTACATCAAGCGCCTGTTCTCCTTCATTGCTCGTTGTCATGTGGACGACTGCCTTCGCCGAAGATATGTAACTGACAGAGACGTAACCCATGTCACAAAGATCCGAAACTTGTGTGCTTCCACCATCGAATGCGTGCCGGTGAAGCTTTGAATTTGCTTGTCCGCTTGTTAGATGTGCCACATTGTCAATAACAAGTATGGAGGCCTTATTGAGCTCCATGGAAGCACTTGCGACTTGGTCCCTGGGGAGGATAGCTTCCAAATGGGCCTCTGTCAAGACCACCAAAACCTTTGACGGCAAGCTCAACGGATTCATACCTAGAATGCAGTCTCCGAGAATGACGTCGACCCTCATTGGTTTGGAGCCAGGACTGGAAGACTTTTGGGCGGAATTGGAGGCAAATGGTGAGGCTTTCGGTCGAGCAAAGTCTGTCAGAGTCGCTACAGAAGCAGTCAAGCTGGCAGATACTTCTTGAGGGGTGGCATTTTCTGCCAGGCCCATCAGCGTCATCAGTGTAGGTACTCGGTACTCGACCTTCAGGTTCCACAATTTGATCTTCACCACAGGTTCCATCTCGTCCCCAATCATTCGTGCCATGATAACAGGGGCTCGAGCCCTTGGTTCTCGCAATTCAGGATCAGTAGCCATCCCAAGGAGATCTTCTGAACTGTTTCGGCGGGCAGATACACTGCCTACACTGAGTGCAACGAGTGCCGGCAGGGTAATTTGTGCCACCTCGATGTCACATGAAGAAAGTTGGATGGCACCCAGTGGACTCCCGAAATCGATATTGGCATCAAACTTGCGAGCCGAGACCAGGAATAGTAGACCAGGTCGATCATCTTCTGGTAGATACTTGGCAACGGTAGCAAGTCTAGCGACCTCTTCGCCAAGCTCAGGAAGATAGGCCAACTCTTTCAGCCTGCCGACTCGAATTTGGAAGTCGTCAACAGTGAGCTTCACAACAGCGCCTTGCTTGCGCTGACGTAGAAGTGTCTCCAGCAAGATGTCATCGTCCTGATCGTATTTGGCTTTTGAGGGTGTGATGAGCGATAAGAGCCGGTCTAAATCGGCATCGTTCGGGGTTGGTAGATACTCGATACGGGTCCCAGTGATATCAACGCTGATTGCAGGGTCATCGTTTGACAATTTGAGATGTGGGCCTGACAATCTGATCTTTTGAATAGATACTCCAATACCCTCATCCCGAGTCACTAACTTGACGGCTGAAGTCTCGACCCCAATGCTGCAATCGGTGCCCACCAAGTCAAGAATGAAGCCGCCAATTCTGAGATCGGCTTTATTTTGTGCAGTCGAAGAAGCATCTTCAGGTTGGATGGGTGTCTCGAACCGCACTCCTCGAGACTTAGGTTTGCTGGGGCTTGTGGCAGTAACGGTTGCGTTCGATGCAATTGAGCTTCCAAGGTTCAAAACACTGCTGAGACCACCAAACCAGCTGAATGTTTCATCGAGTCTCTGTAGATCGACCGAGACATGGAGAGGAAGAGTAGTTATAGAGCATCGGGTAGTATCAGCAGTTTGAGTCATATTGATAGACACATCAATCCCGTCTGAAGCTCTGAGGTCCTTGACAGAGGCTCTCATCTGCAGACCTGCATCGAAACACACAATGTTCGCCTGCGCGTACCCAAATACAAATCTTTTAAGCGTGATTGATGTTTTTGTGACTTGTTTAGATGCATGCGAATGAAGATTGAGGCCACTGAAGTCCATTTGTAAGAGAACATCACCTGATGGTAACCCTCCGCTCTGGTCCGCCATAGTTGGAGCAGTTGGTGAGCCCAGGAGACCTTCAAGCCTCTCAAGGAACTTGATTGAGATTTGCTCAACACCCAATGAGAACTTCTTATCAACAATCTCGGGCTTGGGAGGCTGCGCAGTCTTTTTTGGCGCAGACTCAAAGATATCCTTCAGCTGATCGAGGACCTTGAAAACGAGCTTCCCAATGGACACATCGAAGTGAATTAACAGCTTTCCAATGACGACTTCAATAGCATCGGTGGAACTAGCAGCCTGTTTGGTTTCTGGAGTAGCGTTGTCGGCTTTTGGGGTCGATGGTTTCTGCTGAGCAGGAAGATGGGAGGAAAATGCTCCGGGCACATTAACAGACGACTGGGAGGCGATATATTGACTGTCAAAGATGGAGCTGGCGCCCACGGCAGGGGAGGTAACAGCGGCGGGCTCTGCAATGCCTTGGGGATCTATTGCTGGTAGATATATATTCACCTGATCGAGGTCAAAAAATTTCTTTGCCAACAGGACGTATTCGTCGGACGATGCTGTGGATCGTTCAGAGGCATCACTAGATTTTTGTGGCAGCTCTGGGACCCTTTGTCCTCTTGGATAAGCTGCTGATGACGAAGGTCTCCTTATGGACGGCGGAATTGCGCTTGATGAAGTGAGAGACCCCAGACTAGGTTCTATCTTATGCCGCTCAACAGACTCCTGAGGAGCAACATGACGAGCATGCTCAAGATTATCCAGTTGATCCTCAGACCTGTCGATTTGGAAAGTTGTAGGTATTCTGGGCGAAGATACTGGCCCCTCACTCTCACTGCTAGAGTGTGCCCAGCCACCAGGAATCCTCGAGGTAGAAGCTGTGTATGATATTGCGCTCATGTACATACTCTCTGCCTCTTCATGGCTGAAAAATTGGGACTGTGCCAGATCTTGCTCGGCTAAAGGCGTTGAATTATCGTACTCGTCATCTGGAAGAGCCTCCTCGGCGACGTCAGTACTAGCACTGGTATCGTGGTTGGCGGGTATTGTATCTTGTGAGTCGGGCTCTCTAGAAAGAGCTGGTTGAGAATGCGAAATTCGCTCCTGTGAGAATCTCGAAAGTGGACTTGTCGGTAGTATGGTGGACTGCAGCATTGAGAGTGGACGGCGTTCTTGGACGGAATGTGAAGGCTCTGGAGGGAGGTCGTGCGATTCAGACAGTTGTATGTGAATGGAGGCCCGTGGTGTAGTAACAGGGGACGTGGATCGAATAATATTTGAATGCTGCTGGATTGGTGGTAAAGAAGGCCCGTCTTCATCATTGTCTTGCTCCTGAAGGCATTCGCTTTCCGTGACCTGGTCCAGATACGCGATATCTCGATACATGCTATCGCCCAATTCACTGATATTCGCATTACTGTTGGACATGTTTAATACTTCATCGTCCTCTGGTGCATCTTCGAATCTCCCACTATCGCTGGCAACGACCGAACCGCGAAGCGAATGCAGCTCGCTGGACTGTATGAGCAAAGGAGCTACCGAGTGTTTGCTAGAAGAAATTGTTGAACTGCGATCAGAAGAAGAGGTATCAGATGTCTGAATCGCACTCTCATATGTGCTCGAATTGGACTTGGAGTCAAATCTTCGTTCTCCAATTATATCAGAATGGGTAGCAGAGGGCGACGACATTGCAGAAGATCGGGCCAAAGTTGAGAAAAAGTTAGCTTCAGAGATCAAGGCCCCTCGAATCTTGGAAAGACAGACAAGCCGTTTCCCTTCTTTGAGTGAGAGTTTCGAGGTACTGGCATCTTCCGTATCATTCTTTTCCTCATGTGTGACCCCTTCGATATCTACGTTCTCCACCTTCAACTGGAAAGTAATGGCATCTGCTTGATTGGCCGTAGTTCTTCTTGAGGAATCGTTCGGAACCTCGATATCCAAATTGATAGTGATGCCACTGATCCTGACTTGAAGTCGATCCACGATGCCCTGAATAAACCTTGCCATGAAGTTGGGCAGAGACAGAGGAGCGCCTGTACCAACTGGAATCTCGCCATCTTCACTCATAATTGAAGCTGATCCAAATTCTTGGGTTTCAGACATGATTGCAGCTTCCAGCTCTGCCCTCTCCTCCTCCGGCTCCGCTTGTAGAAATGATTGGGCGAGGTCGACAGCCGTGGGAATCGCAGTATCCAGCTCTTCATCATCTGTACTCTCGGAAGCTCTACGGGATCGGTATGACCGGCTTGGAGGGCCCGAGGACTTCCCAGGTGGTCGGTTCCGTATCCGGTCATGATTCGTACGAGAAGTGCAATGTGTGCCTGTCTCTGACTTGGAGTTGACCCGCAGGGAACTTTCTACACCATCTACCTCCACCACTATAGGGCTACTGTAGATATCTACCGGAAGAGTCAGACGTAGGAGGATTACCTGTGCTTTGACAAGTTCGAGTGAAGGCGGTAATTGCAGAAGGGCTTCTAATTTCTGACGGGTAGCATGTATTAGCGAGCGATATGGTCAAGTATATGGACAGCGGAGATTCTACCTTCATCCGCAGGGCAACGTCTTTGAATTCAAAGGTGCTGTTCTTCCCCCATGCTATATCTAAGTTCTGAAGATCCAAGGCATCGGTATCGAGGATCTCAATCCTCGAGAGCACATATTGGATTAGGCGCTTCGGCATGGAGGAAGCTTGGAAGTAGGACTGAAAGTAGGACGCCATGGTTGCAGACGTCAGTTCTAATTTATCGAGAAGTCAAACAGAGGGCGCAAGATAGTCCTCCTGTCTTCTGACCGTGGCAGATGAGGGAGCTGTCGAGACCTCTTGCGGATCACAGTCTCGTGAGCAATGGACGCTCACTGACTCGCAACTTGGCGTTCATAGTCATGAGCTGTAAATAGCTGTAGGGGGGGGGACCGGGGATGGTGGAGACGGTGAAGTGCTTATGTTCCGAAGAGTATATTCGGAATGCCAGCTGGATGGATCTCGATGTTCTGTGTGGAGGAGGGGTTGTTGCTGTCAGAGGATCCCGTCACTTGTAGGAGCAATATCCTTATCGTTTGATTCGATAAGGCTCACGGGGCGAGGGGCGGGAGGAGGCAAAGGCCAAGGGCCGAAAGAATAGCACGGGTGGCGCTAAAGAATCTCGCTGATTTGGGCTGTAGAAGTTGGATCCCAAAAGCACATATCGTACTTCGGCCACACCCCTCTTTTCTCTATTAACCACACATAGGTAGCGAGCGCCTGGGCTACGATTCCGATTTTTCGTCTTCGGGAAGAGCACCACTATCAACGGTATAATGTCAATCGATTATGCCCAGCTCAAATCCTCAGGTCTTTGAACCTGGCTAAGTCTACATTGGTATGAATGAATGAGTGGCTGACCCACGTACGGTAATCGTGTTTTGCTCTTTTTGCTATCCCTGGGCAAAAACCTACTCTCCTCTCTTCATTGCTTTCGGATCTGTTTGGAAATAGACCTCAACCATTCTCCGTGCAATGCAGGCTGTTAGTAAACCCTGTCTGTAATTGCTTGTCGCAGATTGGCTTATTCTCTCACCTGCGAGCCTCGGCATGATTACTTCCCCCCGGATTTACAATCCTGGGGTACCAACCGGCCGGTTGAAGTTTGCAAAGCAGCCATTTTTTCCCCTCGTTGTGCTCTCCTTCTGTCGCTCCCATTCCCCCAGCAGCAGACCCAAGTTTTTTTCAAACGAACACAAAGAGTCACGTCGAGTTCACTATGCCTCACAAGACCCTCACCCGCGACGAGGTCGCCAAGAACAACACTGAGGATTCACTTTGGTTTGTTATTGACAGCAAAGTGTACGATGTTACAGACTTTGTAGACGCACATCCGGGTGGAGAGTCTGTACTCAGACAAGGTGCGCTTGCTCCATATAATATATTTTACAAATTATGGCTCATAAGATCGTAGTCGCTGGAACCGATGCAACCGAAGCCTTCTATAACCTCCATCGGCAGGAAGTCCTCCAAAAATACTCGAACCTCTGCATCGGCACAGTTGAGGGTGAGAAACCAAATGTCATCGAGCAAAAGCCAGGAGACTTGAGCGTTGTTCCGTACGGCGAACCAACATGGCTTACCTCTCAATTCAAAAGCCCATACTTCAAGGAGAGTCACAGGAAGTTGCAGAGGGCCTTGCGAGTGTGGGTTGATACTGTGCTATACCCAGTTGCACAGGAGTGTGAGAAGAGTGGCAAACACATCCCGCAAGAGATCATTGATGATATGTCCCGAAATGGAATTTTGCACATGAAGATCGGTCCAGGAAAACACTTGCACGGTGTGAATTTGATGGGTGGTGTTATGATGGGAGATGATTTTGACTATTTCCACGACATGATCGTGGGCCAAGAGCTTACGAGGGTCAATGCGAGAGGATTCCAGGATGGAAATATGGCCGGGATGACTATTAGTTTGACGGCTGTTCTGCAATGGGCAAACGACGATGCGTGGAAGTACGAGATTGCCGAGGAGGTGCTATCGGGGAGGAAGAAGATGTGCCTTGCTATTACAGAGGCTTTTGCTGGCTCTGACGTCGCTGGAATCCGAACCACGGCTGAGAAGACGAAGGATGGAAAGCACTATATCGTGAACGGCACGAAGAAGTGGATCACGAACGGAGTGTTCTCTGACTACTTTGTCACTGGTGTCAAGACTGGTAAGCCTTGTTCTCCTTACTCTCCATAGACATGGGAACCTTTCCCAGCGTCAATATCGGTGAGATTAAAGCGGGCTTCTTGGTCTCGAGAGCCTCCGTCGTAAGATATCTTTTGCTGGGGGATTCAAGTTAATGGAGTTCTTCGCACCAGAAAAGGGACTATCTGTCGTTTTGATCGAGAGAGGAGAGGGCGTCGAAACCTCTGCCATCAAGACAAGTTACTCTCCCGCAGCAGGTACTGCCTACGTAACATTCGACAACGTCAAAGTGCCCGTCGAGAATCTTCTCGGCATTGAGAACAAGGGAATCCAAGTCATCCTCTCCAACTTCAACCACGAGAGATGGATGATGGTGTGCGCCGTGACACGTATGAGTCGCCTCGTGACTGAAGAGTGCATGAAATGGAGTAACCAGAGACTGGTTTTTGGAAAGAAGTTGATTGAACAGCCTGTGATACGACAGAAGTATGTTCTCGAATCTGTGAAACGTACTTTAGGAGACGGACTGACGGTTTAGGCTTGCGAAAATGATTGCTCATTGTGAAGCAAACCAGGCTTGGCTAGAGAACATCACTTACCAGATGACTCTGATGCCCTACAAGGAACAGTCAATGCATCTCGCTGGCCCAATCGGTCTGCTGAAGATGTTCGCTACTCGTTCTGCACATGAGATTGCAGATGAAGCTGTTCAGATCTTCGGTGGAAGAGCCTTGACACAGACTGGAATGGGGAAAACAATCGAGATGTTCCATAGGTAAGAACTATCCTCTTTCGTTGTCTTTTGACGCACTTCAAGATTGACGCCAAACAGGACATATAAATTCGACGCTATACTCGGTGGAGCTGAAGGTAAGCCTTGTTTCCTGCACTCACTGGGTGTGGAATACTAATCAAAAACTTCAGAGGTTCTTGGTGATCTTGGTGTTAGGCAGGCCATTAAGAACATGCCGAAGAGCATGTTGTAAAAACAATTTTGCTCCTGGTGAATTTGGCCCATTCTCGTGCGTATTAAATAGCATGAATATCATGATCGAGGCACGGTGAACGCCAAAATCACCCCTTGAAAATAAATAGATTCGAGTCGTCTTTACCAATATATTCTGCGGAATTTGTGGTGAATATGAGAACAATTTAGGAGAGTGGCCAAGGCTGATGTATTTTGATCGCTTGGTCGCGATATCCTCCATGAAACAGAATAACGACCAAGAAGCTGGTAGTAGAGACGATATCGCATTCTTGTATTCTACGCTCAATAGCGTTTGAGGTCACGCTGGCGATCAGCGTCGCACTGGATTTTGGAATGACTTCCTGATCTTACCTCGACGTCAGGCGCCCGGAACGGAGGTGGCAGAATTCACGTGAGCATTATAATTATCTGCCAGATTCGTTCCTGATGCGTCATAGGCAAGGCGGTGAGAGGGCCTAACATTGAAGTTTTCCTGATCATTGATTGGGTGCGGGCGAAGGTACCATATTAAGTGGGGACTTATTATGCCTGAGGCTATCTAGGTCCCTAGCTTAATCCCAACCTTTTTAGCCCCGTCGCGTCGAATCCATCACAACTCCATCGCAAAGACATTCCACTCATCGCAGAAATTTGGTGGAACATTTGATGCGCCCGCGATACTCGATACTCGACTGAGAAATTTAGAGAACTCCGTGCAGCCGTTGACCATCCTCGCGTGGGAAGGGCCTTCGCGCTGTTATTCGAGTACCTCGCCCTCCTCACTCCCTTGTGCTGACGCGCAATACAAATATCGAAACAAATAGTTAAACCGAGATCGAAAACGAAATCGATTTCAAGTCCGTCAAGATGGATACCCCGCAGAGAGCGAACGCCGCGCAGTTGGCAGCTAGACAGCTGAAGGCAAAGCCCAAGGGAAGACTCCAGAGTGGACGATTCAACTCTGGACTGCAGAGTGGTGGAAACATGCTTGGTGGTAGCTTACAAGGCGCAGGGTCTTTCAACCCTACTGCACCCGGAGGACTGAGCATCCCTACGCCTTCTTTTGGTTCCTTTGGAAGCAACTCCACCGTGTCGCCAGATACAGATCCAGAGCCGGGTCGGTTCTTTGGAGACGATAGGGCTACAAAGAGACAGTTTGGAGGGCCTTCTACAATTAAGCCAAGTCAGCCGGCCTTTCAACCTAATGGGTTTGGACAGAGTCAGCCCAATACGCTCGGAAATGTCTCGCAGCCTTCGACTGGTGGATTTTCATTTGGGGGCCCGCCTGCAACACCTACGCCTGCGATTACCTTTGGCAGCGGAGCAAATATGTCAGCTAGCTCGCAGTTCTCATTCGGTGGTGGCATTCAGTCTGCACCTGCTAATCCTGCGATCAACTTTGGGTCGGGAGCGAATGAAAACAGACCCGCGAACACCCCATATGCTTTTGGACAGCAAAATGCGCCTCCCCCAGCGTCGAATTCGCCTTTCGTTTTTGGTTCGACTGCTGCACCTGCAACTCCGCAGCCTCCTGCGTCAAGTTCGATCTTCAACTTTGGAGCATCAGCGGCACCCGAAAAATCTGCTGCATCGAACTCGCCCTTCCAGTTTGGCTCCACTGCGATGCAGCAGAAGCCCGCAGCTTCCCCTTTCATTTTTGGTCAGAATGCGGCAACACCTTCTAGTTCTGGCGTAAACTTTGGTTCGACTACCACAACTGCTCCTCCAATGAGTAATCTCTTTGGAACCTCTACAGGGCAGCCAACAAGTATATTCGCATCATCAACACAGTCGCCTCCTCCAACCAAATACTTGTTTGGAAATTCCAATGTTGCACCTGCTCCGAAGAACGATTCGTTTGGAAGACCAAACACTGGACCTGCTCCAGCCAACGGCCTTTTCGGCAATTCGAATGCTGGGTCTGCGCCACCAAGCAACTTATTCGGAAGCCGAGAACAAAGTCCTGCACCGGCCGCTCCTCCTAGCAACCTGTTCGGCTCCCAAAGTCAACAACCGGCATCGTCCACGTCCAACTTCTTCGGAGCTTCTACTCAGCCATCTTCATCACCAAAGGTGCAAGAAGAGAAGCCCGCTGCGACTACCAATAGCATTTTCAGTGGTCTGAACAACCCAGCTGCCTCTGCGACTAGCAACTTCTTCAGTAGCCCTAAACCACAGCCTCCACCATCAAACAATATGTTTGGCAAGTCGGACCAGATGACGCCAGCAAATCCGTTTAAAATGCTTAATAAGCCTGTCGATGACTCGGTAAAGCAATCTCAAATTAACGGATCCGACAGCGATGCTACTCCGAAGCCCAATCCCCCATCCATATTTACCCAATCCAATAACTCGGCCAGCCTGTTTGGTCAATCTCAGCCTTCGGTTAGTTCTCCGTCCAATGTTGTGATTTACCGTGTTTCGTGTGGGGCGCTTGCTATTGTGCTCTGACCCATTACAATTTCTACCCACAATGCGTTCGGAAGTCTCGCTAACAATTCACACCAGCACACTAGGGCCGCCGAAGACAACAGAAACAATAGCGATGCCACTGCCAAGCCACTTTTCTCTCTCGGTTCAAGTTCATCTTCCCAACCCACAAACATCTTCTCTCCAATGAAGAACCTCGCAGCACCCCCTGCCGATAATCAACCTGCGCCCAGTGCAATGTTCCCTCGTCTACCTGAACCAACACAGAGCTCTGAAAGATCACTCGCGCCACCGAGCCCCCAAAAGGCACTCGAAAACCCTAACCTGTCTAACTCACAGAACGCACAGCAGCCTATCCCTGATGACAGCAACGATGAAAGACCGCTCATCCCTGATGTCTTCAATATCACCCACGAACAGATTGATCCCTATCTCCCTACTGGGCTAGATGAGTACGCTCGGATGAACCACATTGTCCAGTTACAACTCAACAGCTTGAACACGGGCATGGCTACCCTATTCAGTGAACTTGAAGCCTTTACTGATCCGAGTGGTGTCTTCCGTCGGTACATTGATGCCAGAAAGAAGTATATGGATGAGTGGGAGGCTTTTAAAGCTAACTACAATGGAGGTATCACGAATTGCACCAGCTCAAGCAAGCTACCTCGACAGACTGGAATGCCAGCCTCGGGTCAATCAACTCAGTCGCTAACAAAGCGCAAGCTTGTCGAGGATGAAGACCAGGAGAACGAGAACCCTGGCAAGAGAGCGAAGGAGCAAGATACCCCAGCTCAACCTCCATTCCAGGCTCAATCTCAAGCTCAGGCTCCAGTAAACGGCGCTCCCGAGGTTGACGGTGCCAGCACTCATAGCAAACCTCTCCAGAGCACCGGCTCACCTTTCAAACCTGCTCCGACGTTCAGTCAAAATGTGTCCTCCACGCCATTTGCACCCGCTCCTTCAACTTCGGGCTTATCTTCCAAGCCTGCTCCGGCATTCAGTCAGAACGGATCCTCTACTTCATTTGCACCAACTACCTCAACTCCAAACACACCTTTAAAATCCGCTGCCGCAACCTCCAGTCAAAATGAATCTTCAGCCTCCCCTCCCGCAAACCCCTCCATCTCGAAAGGAAAGAGAAAGGCCGAGGAGCAATTGACGGAGGATACGAAGGATGGTGTCAGCCCATTGAGGCAAATCAAGACTCCTAGACTGAATGGGTCCACCTCAACCACGTCAAACCCGTCTAACACCTCCAATATCTTCAAAAGTATCCTCGACAGTCCCTCTCAGCCCAGCAGCTCCTCAAAAATTCCAGAGAGAAAGATGGCTCCGCTACGCGAGTCCAAGGATGAACCGCCTCGGTTCAATCCATTCGGCAACATACCAGTACCTGGCTCACCTGCCAAGGTTACTTCTTCTCCATCACCAGCTCCCGTTGCACGCGTATTCCCTCCTACTGCTTTTACGCCAAAAAACCCTTCGTCTTTGTCAAACATGTTTACAGCAGCTACGCCCAGCCCTCCAAACATTTTTGAACCAAAGGTCACCGCTGCCAGGGCTGCCATGCCTTCTCTTGCTCAGCAATTCTCGCCAAATTTTATAGCCAAGCCCCCTGTAATGTCCAGTGCTGACGCTTTGGCACAATTCGCCCGAAAGGCTGCTGAGAACAAAAAGAAGGAGGAGAAGAAGCGAGAGGACGACAAGTTCGACAATGACTATGACTCAGAAGAGGATGGCGATCCAGAGGAATGGAGAAAAAAGTATCGAGCGGCTCGCAAAATCGAGCTGGACGAGTTGGAAGCTCTTGGCAAGAAACTAGGCCAAGGCTTCAAAGTAAAGCCCCTCTCAAACGGTGCAAATCCAAGCACTCCAGTAAAGCCCCTATCAAACGGTGCAAATACAAACACTCTAGGATCCACATTTAAGGGATTCGGAGACCGCCCATCACTCGAGCGTTCAACCAGCCCTGCAGATTCTGTGCAACCATCCATTGAGCCCAAGCCAATCTTTGGTTCTACTTTCCAGCCTCAAGGCTCGGGAATGAGTGCCTTCAGCTCTGTTAACGCCTCCAGAGCATCGACACCTGGCCTCTTCGGAAGCAGCAGTGGATCTATACTTGATGGTACTGCATCTTCGAAACCGCTGACTGGTGTCAAAAACCCATTTGCACACCTGTCTCCAGCTAGTGGGGCCCAGGCTGACGAAGCGGGTGAAGACAGTGAGGGAGAAGAGAATGATGATGACGAGGAGAATAAGGACCCGAGCTACAAGCCTGCCGATAGTAGCGCGAGTGGCCCAGGCACTCCTAGTACTCCGGCTAACGAACATGGAGCTGACATTTCTTCCGCAATGAAGCCAAACCCTGTCGGTTTCGGAGGTTACGGTACTCCTAAGACTTCGACTATATTTGGTGCCAGCATAGGTACTAGCGCGCCTGGCGGTAATTCGTTCAGTGGTTTTGCTACGACCTCCAGCACCCCTAGCATCTTCGAGCGATTTGGCAAGAAGCCAGAGTCGGCTTCGGAAAACGAACAGAGTGCAAACCCAACTCCTGGTAGAAGCCTCTTCGATATCATGGGGACAGATGCCAATGGAAAGCCAATGGGCAAGGTTGTCTCAACGGAAGAGAAGGAGAACACTCAACCGATCACCACCGGTTCCTTCGGAAGTAGCATATTTTCCAAGCGACCCGGCGCACCTGCAGACAATACGTGGAAACCAGATTCCCCAATCAAGTTTGGTGAGAGTACATCTGCCCCGGCTGTCAGCGTCACAGCGGCTACACCGACGAATGCTCCATCCTCCAACCTCTTTGGTGGCAAGGACCCTAAGCCCGCTCCCGCGGCAAGCCATCTCTCTAATCTGCTCCCCCCTCCGAGCACGCCCAATGGTCCTGCTCCGTCCATTTTAGGTTTCAGCTTCGGAGCTCCTGGCGCTGTTACTTCTCTCCTACCATCTACTGCTGCTTCTGCCACTACCTCTCGTGCAACTTCGCCTGGTGTCACTACAGATGGTGATAGCGGTGTAGAACACGATCCCGACGCCGAGAAGCAGGAGCAGATCAACCTCACGACTGTTGGTCCTGGCGAGGAGAACGAGGAGGTCGTTCTGGAAGTCCGTGCTAAGGCTACTAAATTTGAGAAGAATGAGAGTGGATGGGTCAGCAAGGGACTGGGGCCATTGAGAGTACTGAAGCACAAGGAGACAAAGTCTACACGTATTCTACTCCGTGCCGACCCCAGTGGATCTATCATTTTGAACAAGGCTCTATTGAGCAACGTGGAGTATACACAAAACAAGAAGACCGTGAAAATCATGGTGCTTGCTGATGTCGGTACTGCACTTGAGATATACATCTTGCAAGTCAAGACGGAAGAATCGGCGAAGAATTTGGCGGAGGTTCTGGAGGCGAACAAGGTTGTGAGCTAGATCACCACAGTCTGGGTGGGCATCACTTTCTCGCGCACATCCCCGCGGCTAGGATAGATAGATCCTGCGTTTGGGTACGGATCTGGGCGATGAGCTCGACATGGTATCTGCGGCAGGCAGATGTTCCATCTCTCATAGGGATGGTGAGCTTTTTGCACGCGGGATGAGGAAGGTTTCTTTTTCCACACTAAAATGTGGCATTTTCGTCACTCCTGTTTCTTTTTGTTTCTTTCTCCTTTGGGTCTGGGGTTAGCGGAAAAGAATATGCCGAAGATGGGAGGCATGGACTGGTTGGCTTTGGCCTTTGGCATCTGGCGTTGGCGTTGGCTTTGGTGGTACTTGGTTTGGCATACATACAGGCATACATGATGCATGCATGGCACAGCATAGCGGGATGCGAGGTGAAGTGGACTAGTGGATTGCAATTGCAACAGACCGATTTGTTTGTGGAGTCAGTAACTCTTTGTAAGAAAATGTCAAGATCAAAAGCGATTTGGTAATCGTGGCCGGGATGGGATGGACGAGCGCGCAGGTGGTGTGGCCAGGTTGGCCAGGGGGAAAGAAAGGGTGGGGGGTGGGGGATGTCTGCCTCAGAGCATGGAGCGCGCTTCTGAATGTAAATATGTCATGGGTCCTGAAATTCTGTACAATAATAACACGAACATCTCCTTCGTCCCTACTTCACGCGACTTGTGCTCGTTTCATCGTGTTGAGTAGGTAAGTGGGTGATTAATTAGTTGGGGAGGAGAGGAGGGAGGTTTCCCTGGACTTGGACTTGGACTTGGACTTGGACTTGGACTTGGACTTGGAATTCTCCATCTCTCACGTACGCACCCACTCACCCACTCACCCACTCACTTACCCAGTCACTGTCCAATCCCGCTCTTTTTCTTTCGTATAAATCTTCTTTTCTTCCTATAGAAACACACACAAGTACGACTTCTTCTTTCGTGGGTTTTCAGCCAAATCTGTAGGTACGCTGAGCAGCAAATTCCCAATACTTTCACCCCGACCCCCCTCCCCCCCACGCCAAAAGTCATGCCTGCATCTACCATCGACCACAACCAAGAAAAGAAAGAAAGGGGAAAAAAGAACGCCGAGGAAACCGGGAAAAGAAAAGGGTTCGGATGATTATGCGTGCATACTTCTTCTCTCTACCATCTGCGATACCAGCAAGCAAATCCCAATCCCTCTGTCCAACCCTCCCAAAAGACCCGGCTGAGAGAGCTCCGTTGAGAAGGACAGCAAGGAATGTACCTAATCCTGAGCATCAAGACTCGTCTCCTTCATCAGCTTCTGCACGCTCTCCCCGTCGTCCCCAAACTCGGTCACAACCCACAGGCAGAACTGCTCCCACTCCACGCTCCACTCCCTCATCCGCTGTGCCCTGACGCCGCTCCCCAGCGTCGCCTCCTTGACACCCTTCACCCAATCCCCGGCGTTCTGATCCTCGAACGCGGCCCAGCGCACGCTGTTCTCCGCCAGGGAGCCTAAGCCGGCCAGGCCGAGGTTATCCCAGGCCTGAAGCGCCTGCCAGAAGTCATGCGTCATGCCGCTCGTGTCCTGGCCTAAGATGGCAGGGTCGTCGTTACACAGCGAGCACGCCACGCCTCTAGCGAGCAGAGCTGGGAGAGGATGCGACATCACAGACGCGCAAAGCCTCAGCACCTCGTTCGAGATCGGGCAGCTCTCCACCAGAATCCGCTTCTCCTTCACCATGTCGACCAGCAGCGGGTGCTTGTACAGCGAGAATCCGTGGCCGATGCGGCGTGTGCCAAGGAGCACGGCGTCGAAGAGGTTCTGGTCCGTGTCGGACCCGTCGCCGAGACATTCACCTGCGTGGAAGAAGAAGGGGATCTCGATGCCTTCTTGTACGCATTGCTTTTTGAACCAGAAGAGTTCCGGGAGGAGGTCCTTGAGAGGGCGCCCGGGGTCTTCTTGTCCGACCAGATCGTAGCCACATACGAGATGCGGGTAGGCGAGTTTGATAGTGATACAGGCGTCCATATCTTCGATTATCTTTCGAGTGTCGAGGATGCGGATACCTATCAGGTGTGTTAGCAAGCGCATAAAGGGCAGGATGTAAAAAAGGGGACGGGAGAGGGGAGAACGTACCAGTCCAAATCATCCTCATCCCCCAAAATCCTTTGCCCTCCTCACTCGCCTTGAACTTCTCAATCTCCTCCCCAAAAATCTTAAACATGCGATCGTACGTCGCCTCGGGCTCCTCACTTCCCTCCCTATAATAGAAAAACGTAAATGCTAGTCTCAGGTCAACCCACTTGACGCCATCATCCAGCAACTGCTTCATCATGTGGCGCAGAAAGAGCTTGAAGATAGGCTCGTAGGCGATGATGCTGTTGAGGATCGTAAAGCAGGATGAAAACTTGCGCCACACGACGTCAACGCCGTGGTGGTGCTCGACAGACTCCGTGTTGGTGATTGTAGTGCGATCTTTGAGCCAGTGAATGAAGCCTGCTCGGCCGCCATTGGGGAAGGAGTCCGCTGCAGTGGTGAGGAGGACAAAGGTATTGGGCGTGTAGTCTGGGCTCCAGATCGAGATGCCAGCGCCTCCATGTCAAAAGTCAGTACCGGACGCACCGCGAGAAAAAAGAGTGCATAGTAAATGAAGCAGCAACATACCTTTCTCCTCCTTAAAAAACCGAAACTCGAAAGCACCAGCTTCCAGAGCTGCAGCATCCGCTAACGGTTTCGCAGCCTTGATGTGCATCCCCTCCGTCTGCAGCAGCACATCGTACAGATAGTCGAACTCGACCATGGCGTCCATATGCGCATGCAGCAGCGCCCCCTTGGGCATCTTCCTGATGATCTTCCACAGCTTCGTCTTCTCCATGCGCTCCTTGGCCAGGCTGAACATCATGCCCGGGTATACGTTCGCGCCCGTCTTCTGGGCGAGGATATCCTCGAACTCGGAGGTCCATATCGTGCGCTGCTCCTCGTTACGGATGGCGTCGACGATGGCGCAGGCTTCTCTGGCAAGGGGCGAGAGGGACTCGCGGAATGCGTGGTCTGGGGGACGATCAGCGTTTGTATGTATGTATACATATATACTTATTCATATATATGTACATTTGAAGGGGGTGGCTGGGAGGAGGGGTATATACCGCTCCTCTGTTTCTTCTCCTGCGCAATCAATGCCTGCTGCCCGGAAATGTACTGCTTGATGAAGGGCTCGTCTTTGGCTGGAATGCCATCAGCGATCTCTTCCCACTCATCGTCTGGCATCCGCGAGGGCCATGTCATGTCTCGTACTCGCGACATTGCGGTTGTTGTGTTTAGGATGGAGGGGTTCAAGTTGGTCGCTGGTTGTATTATATTATACCTTGATCTCTCTACCTCTGTAGAAATGAAGAAAAAGAAAAAAGCTAGAACGAACGGCGTGAGTCTTTCGGCGAGCACGATTTTACCTCCCTTTGAACGACCCGTTGTGCTCCCCCCGTTTTTGGTTTTATCGAGTGTTTACCCCCAAAGAAAGCTACTCCATGTCATCGGCGGGGTCCGATAGATAAGTACATACCTAGGTAGGTACCGGTAGAGAACGAGTAATCCAGTCCTTATCAGATCCCTGCATCAGTACCAACATCAACATCAACAAGTTCCCAAACATCACGACTCAATACTCGTCCAGGAAATATATGGAAGAGAGGACGACGGAATTTGTTGGTCGAAACATCATTGAGGGTTATACAAGAGAATCCCATCCATCCATCTATCCATTCATTCATCCATCCACTCCCTCACAACTTCGACTTGGGTCCCTTCGCCTTCTTGAGGATAGGATCCAGCTTCGTAGCCTTCATGACATCACCCTTGACCTTCAGCTTACCAGACATGAACAGCCTCTGCGCATTCGCCGTGCCAGCAACCAACTTGCCAAACTCTTCGTCCGAGAGGGAGAGGGTAACTGTTCGTATCCGTCTCTGCATCAGCCATATGTTCCCTTATTGTTGGAACCGCAACCATGCAATCTCCAGCCGCCACACCGAGCAGCGTGCATCTCCAGCCACGGGTGGTATTGTGCTATGCCTGCGGAAAGATGGGACGGATGGATGGATGGACAGATGGAACGGTAAGTAACATACCACCCGGCTTCTCGCCCAGCCCCTTGCCCGCCTCGCCCTTGGTCTTCAGATCAATGTGCCAGCTCTCCGTATCGCCGGCCTTGTTCTTGAGCGTGAAGGCGAAAACGGCATTGCCCGCCTTGATGGCGTCCTTGCGGTCGGCGTCGGAGGCTTTGAAGGCCTCGTTGATGGCGTCGAAGGCCTCGGAGGAGGGGAATGCAGCTGTTGGTTCCGGGTTAGCATATTGCGCCTGTATCCACGATGCGGTCGATCGGTGTGGCTTACGGTTCTTGAGAGACATGGTGATATGGGTGGTGCTAGTTGTTCTGTGGACGGTATAATCGGAGTGTTGTTTCTTCCGCAAAGCAGACCTATGGTATATTGTATGGTAGATATTGTATTGTAGGTATTATATGATATAATGTATGGTGTTATATGGTATTGTGTTGTATGCTATTGTGTTGTCGCAAAGGAATGGACTGACGGTCTATCATAAAGTAACTCAGTCAGTCAGTCAGTCTGTTCCGGAGCTTCGTCTGCATGTGACTATGCCGAGGTTGCATGACATTGATCGTTCAAGATCGCCCGCTCAGACTGCAGAAAACCCGGGGAACCCAGCCCTCCTCCCATGCCGCATTGCAAGGAATCAAGACCCGTCTGTAAGAACACCCGTCCGAGGAATGTAGAATCCCACCTCCAAATCTTGCCGCCGGAAGAGGATTAGAGTCAGAGCGGGATTACAATAGCGAGACAGACGTGCCTCTTGTTTGAAATTCAAAAATGCGGCTGGCTGGCTACCTATCCCAAGGTACAAGGTATACGTAGACAGACAGACAGACAGACAGACAGATAGACAGACAGACAGGCCATGGGTGCGCATACGCCTCTCAAAAAAAAGTCCTCATTGGCGTGCCGGAACATAATGTACGGAGTATAACAAACACGACGCTTCTCCGAATGCAAGTTGGCTGGCTGGTCGAAAAGAAACCGAGAACCCATCCTTCCAGAAAACACCCATGAATTAGTCCATAACCCCCATATCTATCTACCCGTCCCATGCATGACCTGCAGCTCAACTATCCCTTTCAAAAACCTCAATCCACAACTTCCCCTTCTCCTTCAGCCCCCCCCTCCCCTCCCCTTCCCCCTCCACGGGCCTGTACAACTCCAGTTCCTCCAACAACGCGAGCGTATCGCTCCGCAGCACACCCTGGGGGTCAACATCATCATCTAGCTGCTCATCTCGTCAGACCAAATAGGAAAAAAAGAAAGAAGAAAACCCATCACGCACCTTTCCGCAAACACTCAACGCCGTCTCGAAGCTCAGCCTCGCGAGTCCGTAGTACGAGCACACACCGACGAGGTGCAGCGTCAGCACGCGCATCTCCGGCCGAAGCTGGGGGTTACGGAGCAGCAGCAGAGCGCGCGCGCGGCAGGAGACGTAGCGTTTCTTTTCGTAGTCGGCGCGGGCCTGTGTGGCAGGAGTGAGAGTTGTGGTCAGCAAGTTTGGTGGATGAGAAAGAGAGGGGAGGGAGGCTCAACGAATTGGGGGTTTATAGAACGTAGGGAAAAAGAAAAAGAAAAAAACATACAGCATGATACGCCCTCCTCATTTTCCGGGCCTGATACCTCCTCATGAGCTCCCGGTCACTGAGCTTCTGCACCTGCTGCTCCTTCTGCTCCCTCCTCCTTTGCAATTCATCATTCCTCGCATGCTCCTCAGCATCATCACTGCTGTCCTTGACCTCGGCCTTTTTCTCTCTCTCTCCCTCTCCCTTCTCCTTCCCGTTTCCCCTCTCATCCTCCACATTCTCCGCCCCCTCAATAACCCCCTCTTCATAGCTTCCACCCCCACCAGGCCCCCGAGACACGGCCTTACCCCCCGAGAGCGCAGCTGAAACCGGATTCGCCATTTCGGTTCCAATATCGATATTGAACTCCCCTCCTCCTAAGGCTGCTCCTCTGAAATCTGTCGTCGTCGTCGTCGTCGTCGTCGTCGTCATTGTCGTCAGTTCTTAGGACTTAGGTGTGGACTTGAAATGGGATACAGATTTGAATGATGTGTTCGATGTGGCGCTGGATTTAATTCCGGGAATTTAAAAAAGTAGAGACATGACGCCGCGCGAATTGGAGCCCGGGGTGCGAGGAGCGAAAAAATAGTGAAAATTTTCGGGAGGGGGAGAGGTCAAGGCCGAGTTTTTCGAGGAGGGGAGGTGGAGGTGAATGAAGGGTGAGGTGAGGATTGACATTTGGACAAAGAGAAAACAAACGAACAGATGACGGATCGACGGGCAGCAAACCTTTGATTCTTTTGGATTGAGAGCCGTACTGGGGATGGATCTTTTGTTGACTAGCTTTTCGGGTGTGGTATTGGTGCTCTGTTTTTGCTAGGAGGGAGATCATGTCACTGCTGCTAACAAGTTTGAAGTTTTTGACATTGGAGAGATGGATTTCTGGATTATGCTAAAATTGCGAGAGAGAAAAAACGCATGCGATTTTGAAGGGTCAAATGCAAACGCGGAACGAATGTACAACGAAGAAAAAGTCTTTCGATGGACTGACAGTCTGGGAGAACGGCATAGAATCAGCAACAGAAGCTGTACCCGTCGTGAAAGACTTGACCTACCACTCACTTCCTCATTCAGAGCAATACCTCAGCTCCTACAGGATCGCTTGGGCTAGTAAGACAGGCCCAATCTAATCAATTCCAGGTTGCCCTTTTTTGTTGTAAATCGTAGGTAGGTAGGTAGGTAGGTAGGTAGGTAGGTGTTCCGACCTCCATGAACTCTAAAACTCCAGGGACATCGGAACACCAATCTGCAGCTTTTGATCTGCAAGGCTTCGCTGCAGTGCTCACTCGCCCATCGCTTCAGCAGCATGTCTTGGGACTGGACGCGTTCAGACATCCGCAATGGCCGAAGCCTGTTCGAAGCCGGCGAGTATCTCAAACCGTCTAGAATATCTGCGACACCGGTTCCAAAAGCTGGTGCTGATGTTCATTCCAAGCCCGCCCAAAGAACACGCCACAGTTTTGCGATGCCCGCCGCATCTAGTACACCAGTATCTATTGAGTCTGGACTGGTTTTGAACTAGTTGGAGGCGTTTTTTTGCATGCCGCAGGAATTCTAAGAACGTGTTGAATCGCATTTCCAAGTCCAGAAGGGGTATGGGACATCCAGTCCAGAGGGCCCACCGTTGGTAGCCATGCCGCGCCCTCTTCGTCTTACCTTTCTCTCTGTCCGTTATGTTTGTCTGTGTCCTGCCGTATTTGATGCAGGTGTGTTTGGAAGCCGCTCGAGCTGTTCCCGCGGAGGATTGGGATATACATTCGCGAGCGGAGTTAACGGGGTCTGTTCCCATCTCGCAGAGTCGTTCGTGATTCGTGTGTTCGTGAGGTGCGGACTCAGTGGGATAGCAAACACGGCTGCGAGAACGGCAAGCCGTAGGTAGGTATCTGCAAAGCTCTTCTCCTCGATTCAGATCTGCCTACTCGCAGACTCTTTGAGAGATGCCGATGAGCTCTGAAGTGTAGCACACCTGGCACCCTGCTGGGAGAGAGCGGCGGTCGTGAAGATTCTGCAGGTGTGATCTACCACAGCGGCGGACAGCCAGTCGCTGAGGAGGTCACTGATACGATACCATAGACAGGGAGAGAGATCCTGCGTAGCGCGTGGGTTTACGTCGATTCGAGACAGCTCGAAAGATGAGCAGCACCAGCATACAGGGAGACTCACATTAGGCGGCACATGGACACGCAGGCTTCTGAATCCTCTTAAATCTGACGGTGACATATACTGCTTCAAATGCACACAAAACCTTCTCACGCCTCCAACGGAACATCAAGATATCTTCCTTCTCCACAACCCAGCCAGAAGCCAGAGTCGCAATGAAAGAGGTGTCGCGTCAACTGGAGGCAGTGTAATACCAGTGACACAGTGGGAGAAAGCATAGGCAAGCCCAGAGGCGATCCCCCGAGGGACAAAAATAAGTATAATCAATGTGATGTCCTTAGACATCTTTCAGAGATTAAACTGAAAAGAACAGATACTACACTTGATCTAAGCCAATAGGCAAAGAGAGCTAAGGAGAAAAGGAAAAGAAGAGGAAAGGAATGGGAGGGAGTCGAGCTTAAGTACCTGCGGAAGGAGGGGCGCTTGGACCAGCTGGCGCTAAGACTAGTGGCTGATCATGTGATTTTCGGCATGGGACCGGTGCGAGTATCGGAAGCGGGGTTTCTTTGTTCCTGGTGGAGGCTGTTTAGTCACGTGCTTTGCACTCCACGCTCAGGCTCATAAGCAGGACAGTATACCTATCTACCTGTCTTTTGGCTCTTCGATCTCTACATGACATACCGAGCTCAATATAAGCCGTCTTTACATCCCCTCCCAGTCATATATTCAGCTAAGTCAACCGAAACATCAGGGCTCTTCGAAAACCTGGCCAAATAGAACTGAAGCAATCCGAAATTGTACCTTCGCCCAACTGGAAAGCCCAATCAACCATCTACAAATCAATCCATACATTCATTCTCTGCATCATCTCCCAAATTTCAAAAACCCCAGTCCCAAGATCAGTAACAGGAAACAGTAAACACCACACCGGTGGGGCGGGCGCCTTCTTTCCTTTTCCAACCTCACCTGTGAGCGCCATCATCCCCGTCGCCGCCAAAGCAGACGACCACGAGGTCGAAACGTTGTCGTAGTAGCATTATCCCACGTATAGTTCCTTTTCGTTTGTGGGTTGTGTGTGGAAAGGGGCATTCCTTCCTTCGTATCAAGGCTGAGTTCAAGCGCTAAAAGAAAAAAGTGATAGGTCGAGAAATAAGTCTGACTTTTTTGTTGACAGACAGACAGGACGGGAAGCCTTTGTGCTCGCTTTTGTACCTACCTACCTACTTGGCTGTGTTTTGTGGGCTGGTTAGTATTGTAGGGGAACAAGGAAGGAGAAGACTATTGGGAAAAGGTACATGATGGATGTTTTAAGCTGCATTATGAGCAGCCAGCTATAAGCAAGCAAGCAAGCAAATGCATAGTATATACAGCGTAATTTACCCTCCCCCCACCCCCTTCCACATCTATCCCAGCAAACACATGCACTATACGGTAGTAGTATCATCACAAGGAAACCAAGCAAAAGATCCCACGCAGACACCACACCACGCCACAACCACCACTCACAACGCATCCATAGCCATTTAACATCTAACCTCTCCACCTCCATCACATCGCAACCCCAAGAACCCCCAACCTCCCCCCCGTCCTCTCGTCCCCCTCCCCTCCAGCCCACCCAACCACGAGGTGCAGCCGCATCCACAGCGCCCTCTGCTCAAACAGCCTGCACTCCTCCGCGCTCATGGCGCACACTTCCCCCACGCTGCGCCCAAACAGCTGCTCCCAAGCGCGCTCGCTCCAGAGAAGCTTGCCGCCCACCAGGGCCCCCGTCTCGTCGAGCAGCGTGCCCAGCAGGCGAGGGTTGAGCGCGAGAGGAGTGGGCTTGGCGCAGTTCTGGCAGGGCGCGGAGGGCGAGTTGGCGAAGATGGGGACGCCGCAGCTGGGACGGGAGAGGACAGGTTAGCAAGTGTTTGTGGCGAGGGATTGGAAGGACACGGTGGAGGCAGGAGGGCGGAAGTTTGGATGTGGGAAGACTGGGAGAGGGAGACGTACCATTCCGAGCACATGAGCATGTTCCTCCGATGCAGCGTAACGAGCGACATGTCCATAATCGTCACGTTGATGAAGCCCGTGAACGCATGATAGCCATCCGAACGGACCCTGCCCACCATTGGTTAGCATCACACACAAAGTGACCAGCGGTAGGAACTAGATACGAAGAAAGGGCAACAAACCACCGATCCAGCTCCGCAAGCGTGAACAGCATCCGTACCACGCCACTCTCCGCAGCCTCCACATCCCACAAACCTTCGGGCCACACGGCCTTCACACTCTCCTTCCGCGTCAAGCCCACGGCATACCTCCGCAACCACTCTGCATCCGCGAATTCCGGGTCCACGTCGACCATGCTCGAGCTCTGGATCCGCACGCTCCCCTTGCCGCTGTACAGCAGCACCTTGTGCAGCGGGTTGCTGATCAGCAGCACCGTTCGGCCCGGCTCCCAGTCCTTCGCGCTCTCCGTCTGCACGCCCCAGAGCCCCATCCTACACTCGGCGCTGTGGTCGAAGACGCCAATGTCGCAGACTTCCGTCTCACCGCCATCCTTCCGCTTGATGGCCTTCTTGGCCCCGATGCTCTTCACCACCACCAGGATTTTCGCGTCGATCACGCCGTCGTGCCCGCCGCTCAACCATGTACCGAGCGTCATGAGTCCCGGTAACGGTTGGCCCTTGCGGTACTCGAGCGGGAGGTGGCAGAGGGAGGATGTGGCGGCCGTGGTGTGGATGAGGACGTGGTCGGAGGTTACCCGGCCGGGGAAGAGGTTGGCGTAAACGAGGACGGAGGGGAGCGCGGCGTTGCCGATCTTGGACTGGTCGGAGATGAAGACGGTCCAGATAGTGAGGAGCTGGCCGAGCTTGAGGGGGTAGGGGTCGCGCGCGAAGTAGAGCTTGATCTGCGGAGGAGAGATTTCAGCAAATAATATCTTTGAATGGTTACGAGCATGGGTTGCATTCTCTGTGGAGTCGCACGCACAATGCAGACAGAGATTAGAGATCCTAAACGAGCAACATAGTACACAGTGAGCAGTGAGCAGGGGGAAAGATAAATGGAATGGCCATCCATTCGTAGGAAGTCGCAGAAAGCCAACCCCCGATCAACAAACCAACCCAACTCACAGAGATGGCACCGAAATCATCCTTCACAATCAGCGAGTGGAACCCCGTCGCCTTGGGCTGCTTCGGGCTCGAACCAAAGAAGGTGCCGAGATTGACGACACGGCCAGCGAACGTGACGGCGTGCGGGCCGGGCACAAGCTGCCCGATGTTCGTCTCCTCGTATTCGCGCCCGGGGTTCCACTTGCGGCTCAAGGGGTCGAGTGCATCTGCCAGCTCCTCCTCCGTGAAGCCATCGCCGGGCTGGGCTGGAGAGGTGCCCGCGACTTCTCTCTCTTGCGGGACCTCTTTCTTGTAGAAAGACCGAATTGATGGGTACGAGGGCTTCATGGCGGACACAGCGCGCCGATACGCACGTTGAAGTTGGGGTCGGAGTCGGGTACCCGACGTTTGAAATCCATGATCGATGGTGAGTGACGCGAGACAAAGAAGGAAAGTGGAGATGCTCGCTTACAGAAACGACCAGCCACCAAACGCGGCAGGCGACCCGACTCCAGCCTGGTACAGCATCAAATCAATGCATTGGGAAAGGAAAAAAGTGTGAAGAACAATTGTGCTTCATTGCATATATCTATCTAGGGAAGGAATACACGGCACTTATCGCCGTGTGGTAGAAGACGTCTGAAAGCAACAATCAACGAGAACATACAACTTCCCATCACTCGCCAATACCCCCATCAGGATCACGCACACAATTCAAACGCACAAATCAAGAACACCAACAGAACCAGCTCCCCAAAATCCCATGGTCTAGAACAGCTTGTGCTCAAGAGTCATGTCGTTCTCGGGATCGAGACCAACACAAGCACGGCAGATGTTGACCAAGGCACTGCGCTGCTTAGCAAGAGAATTGATGACTGGGGTTCCAGGTGGGGTCATTGGGGCCTTGAGCATGAAGCTCAGGACGGAAAGGACCGAGTGGAAGTTCTTGAAATCCTTCGTCGCAGCACCATCAGAGGAGCGAGCCTTCCATTGGATGCGAGTGAACAGCTCAGCAAGGATGATCAGATCAATGATCAATGGCGCAGCAAGGAGAGAATCTTCGCAGACATTGAAGAGCCTGAGCTGGTCAGCATTGGTCTGATGGAAGGGGCATGGAACTTACGAAATGGTTTGGTGACCGCCCATGAAGATCTCAGCGTAGTACTCATCCAAAGCACGCTTGTTATCACCAACCGCAGGCATGTACTTGATGACGACCGTGTGGTCAGGGTGCTCGCCTTCCTTGTAGAGGACAGAATTGGCAGCAACCATGTCATCGACGACGTTGGACTTGGAGATCTCCTTGGAGCGGAATTGCTTGTGCGAGCTGAGATTCTTGCCATCATTGTTGCCAAGGTGGTTGTAGCTGGCAATGGAGGTGAGCTTAATGCCGGCAGAGATCAAGAAGTCGACCAAGGCGGACTTCATCTTGGTCTGCCCAGACTTGAAGTCGTCACCACCAACAAAGGCGTTGTGCCTCTCAGCAAGATCAATAGCGCCTGGGACGAATGTGTTCTGTGGAGAACCGTTGATGAAGGGGGCATTCTCAAGAATGCAAGCAACGGCAAAGACAGTGGATGGGGCAACCTCTTCGTGTCCATTCTCGATGGCCTTCATGAGGTTGTCAGCGGTGTCGTTGACACCCTCAATCAGCTCAGCGAAACGTTCAGTGTTGGCAGTCCATAGGACGATGACCTTTTCCAAGCCGTTGTTGGCCTTGAAATCACTAATGGAAGGTTAGCAGGCGTCACTGGGGCATGCGGAGATGGAGATGATGGCTTACCGGATGTCCTTGCGGAGCTTCTCGACATGCTCAAGAGAGGCCTTGCTACCTGGAAGAATGTTGTCTGCACGGTCCTCTTGATTGGCAGCAATGAAGTCAGGGTAGTAGATGGATGGGAGGGGAACCATGGCAGACATCTCCTTTTTGACTTGAGCCTTCAAGGTGGGCTCGAGTACAGCAGCACGATCCATGGCATCAGCCAGGTTCATTCCGCTGATATCCCATCCGCCGATGACGAGGTCATTGGGGTGAACCATTGGCAGGACGTTTTGGAAGGGGATGTTGACATCTTTGGAGGTCTTGGCGTTGGTACCGAGCTTGACGGTTGAGCCCATAACGAGGGAGCCGTAGTAGTTGGCAGCACGGTCACCCTCACGGGTAGCCCAGGACAGCTTGTCGCGGTTGGCAATGATACCAGCAGTGACCGTTGTGCCGTTGTTGCCACCCAAGCCAACCAGCATCATGCCGGTCTTGGGGACCTGACGGTCGGTCTTGAAGTCGTAGACCGTCTCCTTCGGAGTCGCAACGAACTTGCCATCGACCTCATCAACGAGGGTGGTGCGGTAGGAGTACTACAAGGGAGGATAGGTCAGCAAAAGATCATCTTTGCACGTCCCAGGTGCCGTCTTAGGGGTGAACATGTCAGAGTGGCGAGCAGAAGACTGGTACTGACCTTGCTGAGGATCGAAGAGTCTGTGTACACCACATTGGGGGAGGTGACGGAGAAGAGCTCTTGGTTCTTTTTGGGGGCTGAGCAGGCACCGTTGGAGCCGCAGACAGCCGCATCATCAGCGTGGGGAGCCATGGCGAATTTGTCAAGGTATTGAGGTTGGTTTGAGTGGAAGTAGAAGTGATTGGAAAAGCAGAAGTGATGTTTATAGGAGGTTTTGTGTTGGCAATTTGGTAAGGATGCTAATGATGTCTGGGGTTTAAGAAGATGGAGATGTTCGGCGGTGGCAGATTTTTTTATAGAGGGAGATTATCTGGTGTATGGAGCTTCACTGGCACAACCGGAAGGGGCGCTTCTGGAACCAGCAAATTGGTTGTGGCACCTGTGGGCGAGTTTAGAATGTGGAAGACATTGAGTCGCAATAGAGCAACAGCGTGTGGAAAGAACAACGAGGGTAACGATGGAACTCTCATCTCATCGTACAAAGGGAGGGAGAGAGGAGGGAGGAGAGAGGAGAGAGGAGGGAGGAGGGAAGAGGGAGGGGGACTGACGAGCAAAGCAAGTTCGAAAACATGGAATAAATCCGGTTTAGGGTGGTTTGTTTATTTGGGTTGGGTCAAGCGAGGTCGGTTGCGATCGGTGGGAGGTGAGAGATGAGGTCAGAGAGTCAGACAACCAGAGCTGGGGATGTCAGCATATATACTCGAGTACCAAATCAAGTGCACGTGCATCCCATCGCTGGCCCTCTAGCCCTCTGGCCCCACCAGGCCCCTCCTTGTGCGTCTGAAGTAGGTACCGGTACTTCACAAGCTGTGCCTGAAAGTGAAACGCATATGCAAGCACGCCCGCACGATAACGACCAGCGATTTCCCGGACCATCCCGGCGGTACGGAAGCGCATGTACGGAGTATGTACAATGTACGTATGTATGTACGTATGTAGTTGTACTTATGTGTTGGAAAAGTATATAGGCATTGCAATGTACGTCTGTCTGTCTCTCCCCTCTCAGCACTTGAGGGCACAGGAAATTGATCTTCGAATAAAATACATCCATCTTCATCCGTACCTATGCGGCGGTATGCAACTCTTCTTATCCCGTGGGGAGTCTACACACATCTCGCTTAACTCTCGTCGCTGCTCCTACTCTACTGATTCCATCCAGTACAGCACATAATTTCGGCCTTCACTGGCTCTGCTTGCACTTTCCACCTCTCCAGCTCCTAAGACCATCTCGATCTTAGGAATTTCCGCCACGTATCCTGCTCATCCGCCCAGCGCAAAGAGGAGAGCATCACTTGGCATGTTGGCATGGCGGTCAGTCTGTATTACAGAGTAATCAATCGTATGCAGACGAGGACCGCAGCACCTGTTCGAGAAACGGGTCTTGTCTTTGGGGGGTTGCACATCGCAATCGCGAGCGGCGGGTTCGCTTTGTAAACTCTGGTAAGGGCTCTTCTTCCAGACATCGCGAGATCTTGAAAAGGGGCAAATCGACAAGGAGCGCGTCTCCGGGTAATTCCAAAATATCACAGCCTCCCCCAATCTTGGTTAAAGGTATCGAGTGTCTTTCTAGTGGCCTTGTTGCCTGAGGCGTCACATGAACAGGTTGTTGTTTATGCCGAGGTAACTCTGGTAACTTTCGCGAAAATCGGCTCTTGGGATGCATGCTCGGCACCTAGAGAACCAAGCTCACCGCAAATTTCAAGCAATGTAAGTTGTCTGCTTACACGTAGACGCCCGATGCAAGGTTGCTGGCCATATCTTTGCATACCGAGCGGAGCGCCGTATGCGTATTCCATATTGCATATTGCACATCTGAATGTCCAATATGTATGTATATGACCATTATCCGGGCGAGGGGCTCTTTACGAACGTGGAAAGTCCCAGAACATGATGTCCTTCTGCGAGAATTCTCATGTCTGGACTGGACTGGACCGGACTGCACAGCAGCATCCCACTCAAGCCCGGAACGGAGACGTTGGCTTCAGTCTAGTAAACGGGATGCATGAAGCGCAAGTCTCATCTATGATCTCCAGATGGTTCGTAGGCTCCCGCAACGGCCATGGTAGAGTTGCTCGTGGACCCTGCCACAAGTTGCTGGCATGCTGGACTGCGCGCCCGTTGTTTGGATGCATCTATGTAGATCAGATAACACCAAAGAATGAACCATTTTCAACTATCTCGGTTAAACAGATGATTGCACACTATGTTTTCACGGTATCCTTAGCTGACAGGCCGCATCATTGATGTTGATAACCTACCTCAGATATTGCCTGTACCCAGTGCCCACACAGTACATCTAAAACTCGATTATGGAGCCATTGTATCATGTATTGTCATCCGAGGGTAAATTAGCTTCCATGGTATGTACCATTCATTCTCGCTATTCGTTCACTCAACGCCTACATGCCAGCTTCTGGTTACCTGCCACACACGGGCCCTCTTTTATACACAGCATAAACGATTGATTCAGTTCTATGAATGGTATAGGAACACAGAGGCTATATGTTCAGGTGTAACTTTAACGATACCGTATGCTCCAGTGAAGTGAGGTTGGGTTTAAGCGAACGCCTGAAGTAACGAAACCGTTAGATGGACGAATTCGCTTCAATAATCGGATTTAGCTGGGATTTATCATCTCAACCTCGATCGAGCCTTGAGAGTGGCGCGTCAAGACTGTTATACGAATCACGCTGCATACGAAGGGAGGAGAGGATTCTAAAGACTGAAGAGGACAATAAATTTCAACCATGACGACCATCACCAACATGCCCACCTAACCTCCACCACGCATCTCAAATTGTAGGACCCATCGCCAGCCTACACGAACTCAGCCGTGTCATCGTCCTCCCAAACCGGCCTGCCGTTCTGGTACGCCGCCGGCTTCTTCACCAACCTAAACCTCCTCTTACAAGCCGGACAGTCCTTCCGCCCCAGAAACCACCTGTTCAGACAGCCAGCGTGAAAGACACAAGCGCACGGCAACCGCCGCGAGTGCCGGCTACTCGCGGCCCGCGAGCAGAAGATGCACGTGCGCTGGTCGCCCGCCAGGAAGGCCAGCTCGACGGCCCCGAGGAAGTCGTTGGCGCCCTGGTCCGGGTCGTACACGAACGTCCGGTCGGGCACCGGGACGCCCAGGCTCGCCTCCTGGAGCTGGCGCCGGCGCAGGCGCGTGCTCCACTCCAGGCGCCTGGTGGAGGCCGCGCGGTCCTCGTCCTGGGTGCGCTGCTGGAGCCAGTAGCCGCGGCGTTTCTGGATGGTGGCCTCGCTCAGCGCGCGCCGCTCGGAGCGTTCGGGCACTGGGCCGCCGCCGCCACCGCCGCCGCCGCCTTGCGTGGGGAGAGGGAGGGAATCTGTGCGTTCGGGGAAGAGACATCCGCATTTGCCCGGGACGAAGGTGATGTACCGGTGGAGGTCTCTGCATTGGGGCTGTGGGAATGGGAGCTTGGAGCCGGGCTTGGGGTGCATCGATTTGGATCGTGGGGGAGGTGGTGGTGCTTGGGCTGCGGTGAGAAGCCGGCCGCACTTGCGGTCTTGGGTGGGGGGAGCTTCGAAGTGCTTGCAACTTTCGTGGTGATCCGCGACACTCATCGTGTGACCGCAGTCTTCGAAGAAGTCGATTTTGACGCCGCAGCAGATGATCTCGTTTACAGCGACAGCTCGGGAACACATCTTCTCCTGGTTTGGCTCTTCGAGCGTTGTAGTCTTCGACTTGGTGGGAGAGGTTTGGGATCGTCTTAGCGATTAGTATTGGATATAGATCTATGGTCTCTACTCAAGGAGAACACAAACGCTTTATATAGGCAGTTTTCATTGTAGTCGAACCGATACTAAAGTCTTTGTTGGCTTTCGAGCTCGTAGCATGGTGATTGTATCCATTGTGAGGCCAGATAAAGCTCTATATAGGGTATCTTTGTCTGTACTATCAAGTCCTTTGTTTACCAAGATCTGGATTCCATAGCAAGAAAGAACTAGCAAAAGGTCCTTTCGTCTCGAACTCAGCAAGTGACATCAGACGTTGCCAAGCACCCGAGCCTTCTCACCTGGAAAGACATGGCCAAAACAAAGGGTAGCCATACGATCGCCGCGTATCACAGCCAAGGGAATCAATACACAAAACCCTCCCGAGACCAACGAACGTGGTCGGTGGAAAAACATCCCACCGCACTTACACAATGCCTCTGCCGTCTCATCTAGCCCAGGCCCCGACTTCACACAAGTACAATGACCCGGTCGAGAGATCCAAGACCAGTAGGATCTACCTCGCCACTGAACTACTCTCCTGTACTTTGCGGGGGTACAGAGGAGGGGGGGTTGGCCAGGTAAGAAGTTTCCCAGACGTAAGTACCATTCTCTCTACCGGAGTAGTGCTGGCTTCGATAGAAAGCCGAGCAGACTCCTCGACTTCCGACTCACTATCCTCTCAAGTGGTAGCAACCCTTATCCATTCAAAAGGCCTTCATTCTTACAAAGAAGGGGTTTTCCGGGCTGTATTCCGTTGGCGCTGTTGTAGGCAGGTTTCATATTTATAGCGCGGGCTTTGCACTTCTCTGGAATTGCAGCTTGGTCTTTGATTGGCGATAGAGATGTAAATCTCGATAATCGTTAGAGATTGACCATCGTCTTGTTCTGTATATGGATTTTGATGCTTAGTTTCCAATTGGACTCTTGTGCTATTGTACTGGGGTCGGGGTTTGGGGGGGGGGGGGGGAGGTCGACTAGGCGAGCGTGAATCTATTTACGGGAGACTTTCCATTCGCATGGTCAATCTTTGGCGCTAGAGATCTATAAGCATACGTCCAAGATTTTTATACGGCCAAGGTCGATCGATATATCTGATATTCAAAAGGCGTTACAAGCCCGGATATCAAAACACTCTCACATTCTCCATTGCCAGATCGTGAACGCAGTCTAGAATGCCGAGCTAGCCAGGATCTCGCTCGACAGATACAACACGGAGGATTCCAAAAGCCAGCACGGGCAAGTAATTTCATCGCTGAAGACTTTTTCTCAGCTTGATCATTCGATACCGATCTTCCATCCGCTCCATCCAGCAAGGTGGGCCTGGCTCCCGGAAGATCCTGGCACCTGAGGAGAGGGAGGGGAGTACAATGTCGAGACCTGATTTAAAATCACTTCCGCTTTCTATACCCAAGCATCATGCAGGCGCAGAAAATCCGCTTCGCATTCACGCTGTTGGCGGGACGGCGTCACGTGATTATACAACATCGCGGATGCCTCTTTCGGAAGGGAATAGTCAAATAGCAAAACGTAACACGTAGGAAGATAATCATAGCAGAAGGAAGAAGACCCTCACTCGGCACGATTTCGATACAAAGAGCCAGCCGATACACCAGACCGCTGGGCTTTGCAACTCTTCGGGATTCACCTAGACCGGCCACGGTGCCAAGCCAGGAAGGGAGTGGACAAAGGTAGCGAAGTAAAGCAGGATAGAAGAAAGTGGAAAAGGACGCAAGGGTGGGCTGTTGGAGGCAGGTGGACAAAGATGAGAGGAGGGGACAGAATAAGGTGGCATAGGCGAGTGGAATGGACAAAGAAAGAGCAGAGCGAGAGACGTGGGACTCGGGCATACGACCGAAGGGGGACTAGCTGTCTTGAAGTTTCTCATCTTGGTACGCTAGCTACTATCTTCCTCGGTCTGGGCTGTAAGCTATCAAGCTATCAGGTGATGAGCCTGTGATCTGGACTGCGGAGATGTTACTCAGTATAACACTTGACCCGGAGATGGAAACATCAAAGCCGGTATTTACTGATTCGGCTTTGGGCCAGTCTGACAAAGCCAAGAAAGGGTGGTGAGTGAGCACCTGAAGTCACTACCAGGTTGGGAGAGCCTTCCTGTTTGTGAGGATTTAACAGAGCTTTCTTGGCTAGAAGTGCGACTTGGAGGAGCCGATTGAGTGTGCTTTGACGCTACCTGGAGAGAGCTTGCGGCAGTGGAAGAGCAGACCTTTGATTAGTTAACGCATGCATAAGAGGGCGAGTATGTGACGAAGAGGATAAAGCATACATGTATGGAATTGATAGAGAGAGGAAGAAAAGCGCCAGCCGATGAGACAATATACATCTAATATAATCTGACATGTTCCAGGAAGCTGAAAAGCTTTACAGAGGCACTGCTTTCCGTTCAAGGCTTGAATATTGAATATCACATTACTAGCGTGTATTCTCTGTACCCGATAGAGCAGTAGATGTTAGAAAACGAGGGAACAATGAAAAACATGGGGATATATAATCTAACAGCCCAGCGACGAGAAGAAGAAGAAGAAGGAATGCATAAAGACGCTCGCCATGCCGTGCGTAAATCGATGACAAGAGCTAGATCCTTACTTAGCTCTACGGAGTATGCTACTTCTATGTAGAAAAAAAAAAAGAAGTAAAAAACCCAACCCCCGTGATCTCCACCCCCTTTTCCTCCTCCTCGCTTACCCTCCCTTCCTCCCCCCCAACCAGCAAAGACTGCTCTTCCAACCGCCCGCCAGCCAGCAAGCACATTGCGAATGAGAAGATGGAGATCCCGCTTCCAAGCAACTCGCACGCACACCTTACAGCACAGCAGCTTCACCGTGAAACGCCTACAGAAATTTCCAACCAATCGCCACCCCCGGAGGGGGGAGTAGGTAGGTATCCGTAAGTCACCCAACGCAGGGCCTAGCTTCAAGCGAAAGCAAAAAAAAAAACCAAAAACCCCCGNTCGACAAGAC